TTATATTTAATCGGGCAATCAATATTTCCAAATGGTATGCATCAACAATTGACGAGTTAAATTTTTTCCATAAAATTGATACTTGGACCTTAGCTCTGCTACCATCCTGGACCAAGGATATCACTTGCAAATGAAATTTTTTTGAATGGAGGAGTCACAAGGAAATTATGCACCACGATTCAAGTTTCGTCCAATGGCAAAGAATTTTTAGATAAAAGAAGGTACAGACTATTTTGACATCTTTGCATCCGTAGAAAAATTGATCATTTCAGTCATAGCCGGCTCTTCTGGATGACCTATTACACACCTCAATGTAAAAATTGTCTATAAATGACATGATTAATGAGTACATATATGTATAACAGCCCCATGGATTTGCTAAAAGGGTTTTGATTAAGCTTACAAATTGTAAGCTTAATAGAGTGCTTTATGGACTTAGGCACTCTCCTAAGGCTTGGTATGAATGCATAGACAAGTATACGTCTAGCAAGGTGGACTTGTAGTCTTTTGACCCAAAATTCTACATCCTCAAGGAAGATTCTCTCATTGTTTTATTGATGTTGTAGATTGATGACATATATATCACAAATTACAACCAATGTTAGAATTTTTGAAATTAAGTCTGATATTATGAGTCAATACGAGATGAGCAACTTGGAAAAGATTAAAAGTTATTTAGTAGTAGAATTTTTTAGAAGTCAAGAAGGACTTTTTATGCATCAAAAAATCTCATATCCTAAAGATTTTCAAGCAAAGACTGCAAAACATTAGAATTGCTTATAGAAGCAGAAAAATACTCTATTGAAAATACACTTAATTCATTTGTCAACCCCACATTCTATCAGAAATAGTTATATGAGCTGCTTTTTGTGATAAACAAGACATTCAATACATGCTTTGCTGTTGGAAACTCTCCAAATTTATGGCCAAGCCTCCAGAATTCTATTTGAGATGCAATTTTAGACCTTACAATATATGAAAGTTATGTTGGATCACAACTCTTTAAACGAGGTTTTTCACTTCAGTTACAAGAATACACCAATGACACTTAGAGCTCCTGCTTGGATGTTTTTTAATGCACCAGAGCCTATGCTTTTACGCTTGCTGGTGAGGCAATTTCCTCGTGCTCCGAAAGGCAAACTTTGGTATCACTTTCATCCATTGAAAGCGAATACAAGACTCTTTCATTTGTTGCTTACTAGACCATATGGCTTTGCCAAGAGGTCAAAGAATTAAATCCGACAACACTATTGCCTACTCTCATGTAAGTATATCAAGGTAACATATTCATTGCACAACTCTGACTTACTTGAGAATTCTACAGTTGTTCATAGTGACAACAAGAGTGCCATTAAACTCGCAAAGAGTCAAGTGTTTCATGTCCGCAGCAAACATATATGCATACAACATCATTTTATTAAAAAGAGAGTTGCTCTAATAAAAATTACAATCAATTTTCTGTCAACTAAGCTTCAACCAGCAGACATGCTAACTAAAGCCATGCCGAGGTTAAAGTTCTATCAGCATCAACACTTTTTAGGCATCCGCAATACGTTAACTCTGAGCTCAAACCTCTTGTTTTCCTACCGAGCAATTCTAACGCCTAACCTGAACAGACCCTAAACCCTAACCCTAAACTCAATAAATTTTCTCATGTTCTCATGGATGTCGCTCGGAGAGATGAACCGCAATTCTCACTATTGCTTGTCTGTTTACATTTTTTCTTGTACAAATGCCTGACAATCGGTATCCGAACTTTGGATGTGCTCTAATCTAGTACAGACTACCTCTGGCCTTCGGCCGGAGTCGTGTCTAGTATGGAGTCTGGTTGAGATGCAGCTGGAACATTCTCCAAGATTTTAAGTATATGTGTCCGTTTATTACAACGAGCTCTTGTTGAAAGAGAAAAACATTTATGAACCTTTAGTCTTATTGTTTACCTCTGTCTACGATAGCTACAAACCATAGTGTTGATTTTTCAAAGACTTCACTACAACTATTAAAATACAATCTGGAAATTTACCGAGATGAACGAGAATTTTATGAGAACATTTATCTGTCGGAAGCATTCTCAAAGGTCAAATATAATTTGCGTTGATGACAAACAGCTCTCACATTCAAACTCCAGTCAATTTTCTAGTCAAATAAATTCTTATTCATGAAATCAGAGTCTATATAGAGATTTTGAAGAGTTTGTCTTGATGATGTGGAGCACATGTCTTATGCTTGCACAAAAGCTATCGCAGCACATTGATGTTGTAACTATCTTCTAATGATTTGTCACAAGTTTGAAGCACCAATCAAATTCAATGCTTATTTTATCACTTAACCTTCCTCTGCAATGCATCACCGTTTGCTATTGGCTTGGTAAGAGCTGGCAGATAGGACTTAAAAACATTTCTTACATATAAACTGGTTTTGTTGCACGTCTATAATGTGAATGATTGGTGTGGTGAGCACGAAGCATGCTTGTAAATTGTTGTTGTTAGCTCGGAGCATTAAGAAGAATGCACATCTAGCTCTCTCAATTGTATAACTATATTAGTTACCAAGTGATTGGGACTGACGAATGGAGAATCTGATGATGCGAAATAAAACGCATATGAATCGATGTCAATATGATATTTTATTCATCATTCATGACAACCGCATATTTTCTCATTGTTGAATGAAGATAGATTGTAGATTGTTTCTCATTTTCCCATCTGGCTTTGCAATGTAGCCAGATAGTATAAATGTTTGAAAATTTTGATAGTTTATTCCACAAAGGGGAATACTATCTGGCTTCATTGCAAAGCCAGATGCTTGTGTTGTATAAGTTGGACATGAAGATCTCTCGGTACGATTCCAAGCGATGCATGAATTACATAAGCTGGATATGAAGATATTTCCAGTATGCAACATTTCAAGTTGATATTTCTAAAAATAAAATAATATATCAAAGAATCAAATATCACATTGATATCTTTATTCAAATAATGATTCATGTTAAATTAACATGACTCATTATTTGATTCATGTTAGTGTATTTATCAATCTTGATTAGTATATTATTTCAATGCAGTATACTCTTAAACCAAAGTTGTATCTATTTTGTTGATTCATAATTTAAGTTATTAAATATATTTATTACACATTTTTTATTCTTGTGGCTTTAAATGTGAATCCAACACTGTTATATTCACCCCAAAAAAATTTAAAAATTTTGAATCTGAAAATAAAAACAAATTAGGGATAAATTTTTAGCAAAGAATCATTCACGTTAATGTAAAAACACCAAAATTATCAACCTTCGTTCTCCCGAGGAAGGGGATGAACAGGAGATTCCTCCTGCGCATGTTCTGGTTCCCGATGAGAACTCTCTGGTACTTCATGAAAGCAGGAAGAACTCTCTGGTCCTTCATCGCAACTAGACGAAAAACGAGTGGGAAGAAAATCTCGAAATTCAACCAGCAAATCTTCAAACCACCAAACAAACGTTGACAAACGCTACGCCGTTTTGCTTGTCAGACTTAGGCCCGTCAGTCTCGGGACGACTCAACTGGGGCTCAGCCATTATTTCTTCTTCATGATCGGAGATATTTCGCTTGACAAGCGTCATTGGAAGGTCTACTCTCATCCTCGTCATTCTTGGCCAGAAATCTATCGAGCTGGACCTTGGTGTCACTCCTGATATCGATCAGATGTCTCTGGGCTTTCCTCGGCCTCTGTTTCTTCTAAATGCTATGTGTGCACCAAAGTCCAAAGCTCGAGCATCAACCATTAACAATGGATTATTTGTTATAAATAATAGACATACAAGTTATCATTTCCAAAATAAATAATCATAGAATTCTATACTGTACATGTTATATTGTAATTTTCTTTCAAAAAATCCAAAACAAGATGATGAGCTTGCAAATGTTAAGATAAAATTTTAATGTGACCTGAAATATCATGGATAATATCTGACCAACTACATTATATATCAATTGACGAATGTACTCTAACTAATACAAAAATCAATTACCGAGCAATAGTACAGATCATTACGATGGCAACCTATATAAAAGAGAAAATTGAAATGTATTTGAAAGCCTAAAATATTGGAAAATCCAACTCACCCACATTCCACACCTCGTTCAACCTCTCGCTCGAGCGTAGGGCTGGAACCTACCTTGACTAACAATCTGTAGGTAGAATTTGCCGTCTGCGAAGTCCACACTTTTGATTCTCAGGGAGCGACTGCGAATCATCTGCGCACCACACCCGCAGCACTCTCGAGGCAAAGCCCACGGCGTTTCAACGAGAAAATATCCAGCGATTCGGTCGCACATGGAACATGCACTTGCATCAGCCTTGTCGATGGCTCCTCTGAGGGCGGTCCAGGGACGGGAAGCATATTCGAGACCCGCCCCGAGAGAGTCCGGCAATTATCAGACCCCGGAAGACGAGCAGTCCAGCCGCCCACATGGATATCAATCCAGAATTCTGAAAAGACCCCATCAATCCATCAATCGATCGATCGATCAGTCAATCAGTCGATTCGAACGCCAATCGTTGACAGGGTCGTGATGAGCAAATATCATAAGGCTTTTGATTCACAGGCTTTTCAGCGTCCACGAAGCGCAACGAAGAGTTCGTACACAGGATGGAGAGTACCTTCGTTGACATCGGCAGTGGCCCCACAACGTGGCCGCTCCTTCGCTCTACGATGGTGACGCTGTTCCCAGTGCTATCTTGTCCCGCTGTTCCTCATCTACGGTGGCACGGAGGAAGACTATACCAACCGCAGAACAGACAAACGATGTCAATGCCGGCCGGGAGAATTCTCCATTGTGGACGGCATCTTCCAGTTTGGCACACGAGCTCAGAGCGATCCGTGAAGACGGTCCGACAGCATTGCGCGCACCTGAATGTGGAAAAAGATCTTCGGACCACGAGGGTCGATCTTTCTGTCTAAGATCTCAGAGGTTAGAGCCTACGATCGTCGTTTGCTCCGTGCAGACACTTTGTCAACTGCGTGCGTGTGTTCCTTTGATTGTCTTCGTCGTACTGATAAATCCTCGAAGCCATTTCGCGGTCGCGATGGGCTTCTTTGATTTTTTCTAAACGAGGGGTCGGTGCGCTCGTAGAAAAATCTATGAGTGTATGTCGATGACTGTGTGCTCCTTCGATGCCTCGGCTCGCAGGATTGACTGAATTGCAGCTACCCTTGGCGCTCGGTGCGCTCATTTAAGAGCTCGTGAGATTTCAGAATCAAAGTGTGAGCTCGAAGATTGCCCCCGAGTCACAGTACCCTGTCGGAGGCAATTTCGATTGGACATTGCGTCTTCTTCACCGAAGTGTCAGTATAATTCTTCGCAATGTCGACTGCTGGGCAAGTTATCAGCTGCACAGGTCAGTTCAACTCTGCGGAAAGTTCAATTTCCCATCAGCTGCAAGAGTTTCTCGTTCCTTTCTTCCCAGCTGGACGGCCCAAACGATCAGAGGCATCGAACTTTTTTAACCTTCAATTACATCTCGTTTTCATGGCTGACAGCGGCTGTGGCTTGGGAAGAGAACAAGCCTCTGACCCTTGAAACCATCCAAGTTGCACCACCGGGAGCGAACGAAGTCCGTGTGAAGCTACTCTACGGGGCAGTTTGTCATACTGACATCACATTTATGACTGGAAAGGTCTGTTCTGGATGTCTTCTCCTTCTCTCCACTGCCCAGCCTGCCAGCTCTTTCTCGACTTGGAGCTCAGCAGTGTCACAAGTGCAGCCCCGCAGAACAGTATGCAGTTTGCTCTGGTTCGAGAGAGTGAGATATTGCTGCAGTCTGAAGTTTATGAGAATTTGCAACTTACTGTCACCGGCCCTGATCGAAGATCCAGCAGGCCGAGCACGTTCGTTATCCCGTGGACCCATACCTTCGAGAGGTTAGCCGCTCGTCCCGTAGAAATTGGCACATCCATCGACATCACATTTCCTCACTACACCGACCGAGCAGTAATGATCAGCTCGATCAGAAGAAATGGAGGATGAAGGCCAAGAGACTCAAAATTTTTCATACTTTTCACACTTCAGATTGTACCAGCTGTTTCGAAAACTCGTAGGGTCGTAGCTCACTGCCACGCTACCACTGCAGTTGCTGTTTACGCATTTTCAGAACATTGTGCTCGGTTGGCTCCGAGATGGACATCAATTAACCCTCGTTCGGATTCCTCTATCATGCACACGGCATGCCAAAATTGCTCAACGAGTCGTACTCCTGAACCTCGTGAACGTGGCTTCTTTGCAGGCCCCAGCGGAAAAAATTTTCCCTCGAATTTTCGGCCACGAGGCTGCTGGGTAAGTGTTATTTCAGCTGCCTCAGACAACCAATGCAGAGAATCCCAGAAGCTCACTAACCGTTCATTGTGACGGACTCCATCGAGGCAGACAGTTAAATCTGCCCGCAACGCAATCAGCGCTCTAGTTCTGGACAAGTCGACAGCAGGCGTCTTATTGTCCTCGGCCCGCCGTCCGTATGAATCCAGCTGAAAAGTATGATAGGAATCAGGATCTTGATCGGAAGCCATAAGAGCACTACTACTACTACTCTTACTAAGAGACAGGATCAGGAATGTGTCGAATGTGATGCTCATGAAAATCATCATCATCATCATCTCCCATAGTCGTCAAGGGGTCGGACTGGTCCCTTCTACTGAATATGCTGGTGCTGAGCTAGACTGCGTTAATTTTGGGTCTGCGTGAAGGGGTGGACTGGTTGGGAAGATTTATCGTACCCACATTTGATGGCAGGGTGGTCGAGAGCGTCGGACCAGGAGTGTCAGAGTTCGCCGAGGGCGATCACGTCATCCCTTTGTACCAAGCCGAGTGCTCGGAGTGTGCCCTCTGTCATGTCAAGTCCAGCAATCTCTGCACGTACACTCTGACCATGACCGGGGGGTACATCCACCCGAGCCAAGAGTGTCGATTCTCCAAAGACGGAAAGCCGATCCACCACTTCTTCAACACCTCGACCTTCTCCCAGTACACCGTCGTGAATCAAGCGAATCTGGCGAAAGTCGATCCCAAGGCCCCTCTCGACAAGGTGTTCCTGTTGGGCTGCGGTGTCACCACAGGTACCTCCTTTTACTTTTCTGTGGCCCCCTACCATCGCACTTCTCGGACTCAGTCATGTCGAGAATCAGGCACCCCCCGTGTGAAAAAATCAACACTCGGACGAAGAGGAAAGACGAAAGCGATAATGTTCTGTCTAGATGAAATTCCGCTATAATCTCGACTGGCTGACGATGATGATCTTGCTGGAATGTCGTTGCGCTGTTCATCTACCGTAGCCTCCGCTCATCATTCGTAGGTGTTGTCACAGCTATTCGATGTTGACCCCGATGGAGATTCTTCAAGGTCACTGGTTTTGAATCAAATGGCGTGAAGATTTGGCAATTGCATCCTTCGACCTTCATCTCGAATTTCCGTGCTGTAATGCATATGAAGCTACTGATACTGATGCTGATGAGAGCTAGACAATCAGTTTTTAACTCCTATTTGCATTCTTGTTGGCTTTTATAGCGTCAAAAGTTATAAAAAAGAATGGAAACTGGCAAAACCAAAATTACCTCGAGGTCTAAACGATGGATTTATAACAAAAAGCAGTCCTCGGTCGTGCGCAGGTCACGGTGCTGTGAATAAGGTCGCCGAAGTGCAACCCGGGACTTCTGTGGCGGTATTTGGACTCGGAACAGTTGGCCTTTCTGTGAGTACTAACGGAGCAGCTATGGAAGCTAGTTCTCTTTTCTACACCCGTCGAAGAAACTGCTCTATACGCATGCTCTGTACTGCATGGAATTATTTTGAGACTGAGAGACTTCTGGTCAATCGATATCCTGACCCTAGCCATGTTCAGAGGAGCTGAGACGCATCAGCATCCAATGAAAGAAGTCGAGTATGTGAAGGTTTTGTGCTCCCCAAAACGATGACAGTGTACAGCTTGTGCCTCGAATTCATGAGACTGAGTTTGTGATCTCGTCGGCTGCTGCTGAAGGTTGTCCATGCAGCTGCCCGAGCTGGTGCTACGAAAGTGATCGCGGTGGACATCAATCCCAACAAGTTCGCTCTAGGTACCCTTCACACAAGCCTCTCTTGGGTTTCTGTCATTCAGTCTTCACTCAGGCATGAAACGAGTTTCTAGGGAAGTCGGTCACCCTGGATCCACTCAAGCGCCACTCAAGGTGTTTCTTTTTGCTGCTAGCCAAGGAGTTCGGAGCAACGGACTGTCTAAACCCCAAGGACTTCGAGAAACCAATCCAACAGGTCGGTTCTTGTGTTTTTCGATGCTGATCGATGTGGTCGCTCGCTCGCTCGGTCTAGCTAGATCCTGAGATTAATCAGACTGCGAGACTAAACTGGTCTTTCTGGTGGATCGAGCTTGCAGGTTTTGAAGGAAATGACACACGGGCAGGGAGTGATGTACAGTTTTGAGTGCGTCGGTGGCAATAAAGAAGTCGTGACATCCGTCATCGAATGCTGCAACCCAGTGAGATTCATTACGCCTCATCTTCATCAGTAGCCCACGAATGATAGCTGTTGCACTACGGAACTAGTAATAGTCAGTCGATCGATCGATCACCCTCACTCACTCACTGACAGCCTGATTGTCTGAACCCCATATCAGTCTTCTCTACATGCAAGAACCAAGTGGGAGAAAGCAACTCACCAGAATTAGGACTCTTCCAGAGAGTTTGCACTTTTCCAGTAACCTCAGCTTTCAGTCGGCGGAGGACTTATCGTCGAAAATGGAGCGTACCTGAGTGACATGTTCAACTTGATCGAGGGGAGGCCTTCAAGGCTCCAATGCACTCACTCACTAGCTACTGACTGTCATGAATATTGTCGATGCGAAGAGATTACCAACATCTCTTCTGAAAGCCCTTCCGTACTGTATGCGCAGATTATGGGAACAGCCTCGATGTTGGGAACTCCCGAGGCCGGAGCGACGATTGAAGTAAACGCGGTGTTCATACTTATGGGTTTGAAACTCAAAGGAGCGATGTTCGGGGGCTACAGAGGGAAGACAGATGTTCCCAAGCTGGTGGACTTGTACATGAACAAGGTATTGTTATCTTGAATCTCGTGTGTCTCAGCTGTAGGAGAGATGGTACTACTCTTACCGAATGAATCTTGCAGTAGAAGACTTGTTCTTGACATGGAAACATGGCACTGTGTGTGAATTTTCATCAGAGATGGCTTACTGTTGTGTCGACGGTTGGACTGAAGCATACGTATTACACCTCTGACCAATACCAATTTGCGGACTTTGAACAGGGACTTGACCTGGACAAGTTCATCACTGATACACTACCTTTCTCGCGCATCAATGAAGCCTTTGATAAACTGCAAGCTGGAGAATGTCTTCGGATTGCGCTGGATTACAGCAAGTAAGAAGCTGCTTTTGTAAGCTTCAGCGGAGACGTCACTGCAGATTGATCGATAAATTCATCAAAAAAATCTGATGAATTATTGCATATAGCGAAAGAGTTGAAAAACAAAAAGTGACCCTTTGCACTAAAGATTCACAAATAAATAGTACTCGAAAGGTATTTACACGGCAAGCGTGTCCAGATTGTCACCCTGGCACACTCTGCTGGTGCTATAAACGCCTTGTGAGGCTCGGACCCTTCTGCATGCGAGGTGTAGGGGTTTAAACGTATACAGGGAAGAAATTCCATTTCGTAACACTGTATGTCAGCAAAGGCAAATCAAGGATTAGCATCACGATCGTCAAGATCACAGCAGAGAATAAATATGTGACCACACCTTGTGAATCTCGTTTCCTTTCAGGGTACTCCGAGGTGTAAGGTAATTCTCGATTGATTGCCGATCTCTGGTCTTATGTTGCACTTCATTATGACGGTCCGACACCCCTCACTGCCAGCAACATCAGTCAAAGCTTTCGCCCCAAAATGTCACTCTGCTAGACGCATACCGAAGTCCTTTGCTCGGTGTGTATCGTCCCCTTGTCGTACAGTGAGTGATTGTCAAGTGCCTGACAACCCTGCTCTGCCACCAGCTTGATTCTCATGATGGATCGTTGTCTTAGGAAGCCCGCATGTTAAATTACAAGGACCGTAATGAGTTGATGTATGTTGAAGTCAAAGTTACTTGTTACATCGATAAACTGACTGGCCTATCATTAAAACTCGCGAAGAGTCACCATTCTTAATTTTCTCCAGAAATCGTTCAACTCGGGAAACTGCAAATCCATTGCACTGAGGAAGATAGCATTTGTCGAATCTCCTCAGCCCTGGAATCAATCTTAGACTCGTCTCACTCGCAAGGCCGGAGTAGTCAGTGAAGTCCGTGCCGTCATGGATTAAGGAGGCGATGGAGAGGGGCACGGCCTCTTCGCTGAGATTCCGAGACTGATCTTCGGCCTCACTTACCTTGACCTTCACAGAGCATCACTGGAGCGCCTCCCGGCCCGAGTACACACACAGCATGATGACAGATGGAGCACGGTGTTCATAAGTTACGCGTGCGATACTTATGAACTCGTTTTTGTCTGTAATTCTGAACAGCAGTCGGACATCGACGAAGGCACAAGTCTGTTAGCCTTCGCATGGCACTCCACAAGATTAGATTTACTAGAAAAAAGGCCCAGATTATCGATGGAACTTCATGCCCAGATTCGTATGGAGATGGATTGCGAACCCGTATCTCTCTACTGTTTCCGACCACCACTTATCATGTGGCAGTCGGTAGAGCTAGTTCCCGTCAGTCCACGTGTCTTGCAGGGATCGACAAACTTCAGCCACAATAGAAGACTCTGTGGCTGACCACGTCGCTGTCTTTACCCTCCGACTAATGCTGCAACAACTTCAACTAGTGCGTTTGTGGTCGCACCTTCCGGCCCATCAAACTGTAGTCTCTTTATCGTCTTGCCAGTTTCGCCGTGCCGAGAACTCATTCCTTGAGGCGACCGAGTGACTCGACGACATCCTGAAGCAAAATTGGCTGGAATTTCGAATCGATGTCGTTGCTACGCTTGCCTTCAGGCGCGAAGCTAGCTTATGGTCGGATTTCTTCCAGGGAAAGCTACGCTGTGAGCCATGGCTACGAATGCGAACATCTGATGCAACTCTGTACCAGCTCGAGAAGTCGGATGAAAACGGGTCGAGGGGTTGACTGTAAACTTACCTTCCCAGTGGTCTGCGCTCGCTCAACCAGGTAAGTGATATTCACATCGGCGCTTGTTATAAAATACCACAGCCTTCTCGTGACTGACCAAGGGCGAAACATGAAAATTTGTCAGTAGTCGCTGTTGGGATGTATTAGATATGCTTTTGAGCTTCTTCTGTGTGCGGATTACGCCAGCCAGTAGAGGAATGTGCGAAATTAGGACCCTCTCTAACTGATGTTCCTAATTCCTCAAAAGCGAAGCCTACATGTGGACTTTTAAGATTAGTAAAGTAGAATGCCGCTCAGTACCCGTCAATCCAGAGTGTTTTTCAATCCCAATCCTCGTGAAAGCTCGCCAAAATGTTAGATCCCGAGAACCAGGTGAAAGCCAGAGCACGGAAAACGACGTGAATTTAAATTTTTTCAGATTCGCCGGTACATCTTTCATGGATGATGACGATTTTTACGTAGCCGAAGACTGCTTGTGATGGAACGAACGAAATGTCAAGACTTCGTGACAACCCTCTAGAGCTGCTATTTTGCAAGAGATAGATGAGCATTTAGAACCTCATAGCAATTGACAAGTTTTATATCTGCGTGAAGGCAGGCCAACCCTGGATGATGTGGAGCGCTTGTCTAGGGGACGTGCGTCCAAAGCCAAAATAGGCAGCCGGGCTGTTCCGCACCGCCTGAATGCAGATGAAAGAAAGGTAAAGAACACTATCTCTGTCAGACAATCACTAGCTCCAAGACTTCTACTGCTCCGCGGCGCTGAAAGAGGCAATTCAAGTTTTAGGGTAGTGGTTCAACTCAATTCGAACTAGAGAAGACCCAGCGAGGTTGCCAGTTGTGCGTTTTGCAGGAGCCAGTGGCTTCGTTTAGGTCTGTTTTTCATAACTTACACCTTGCAAGCTTTCACCACTATGCGATTTGATCTTGCACGGGAGCCTAACTTCGTTACATTCTCCATCTTGCAGGCATTCGAACTGGCCAAGAAGAGAGGTTTTGTGGTCCATCAACCAAACACTCGACGATATCCTCTGATCAACAGTCATCGAAATTACTGTGACGCATTGGGCATACCTTGCATTCGCATCGACCAGGTAGGGTTTCTCTCTGTGCTAACGTCACGTCCATGTTTGAGGAAATTAGATGCCGTCCTAGACAGTTGTGTCTTGTCATCCTCATCTGTCTGGAGGCTTAAAAAAAAGATCCATCTTGTATCCTGTCGGTGACTCACGCATGACCTTTCGTTCGTTGCATTTGCCTTGTCAACGCCAAACAAACTATAAAACTCAGTTCGTTCTCTTGGTCTGGTATTCAGGTACATGCAGGTCAGCAAGATGAAGTTGTGATGGATCTTACTCCACTACGTCTGTCAGAAGTCGGCTTGCAATCATTTAAAGACGTAGTTGTTGAGGCCGTAGCGTCCATAATGTCATCAGACAGTGCGGCTGTAAATCCATCTGAGGGCGATGCGATGCATCCGACATCAGACAGAGAGGACTCGTCATCTCCACGTACGGTCCAAAGTGATGAAGAGAAAGAAGAAGAAGAAACACTTTCCTCCACAGACATTGATGCTCTAAAGGCAATGTCAACAGCACAAACCTCGGAAGAACCCAAACCTCTGAGATTTCAGGCTTTCAGCCGAAGCCAGGCCAGGCTCATCGCCCAAACTGGTGTAGAGACTTGGAAGAACTGGTCGGCTGTTCATTTGAAAACACCAGCCTAAGCCGCCCATAGATTAGAAACTAGCAGATTAACTGGTCCACATCCTCTGGTGAGGTTTTTCAGCGGGGCCAGATTCAGCAGCAAACACTAGGTCTGCGTCACACAGAGAATGTCGCTCCACGAGCGAGAATGCCTCGAGCACGCCCTAGCGATCAGGTTTTCAGCGAACAATGTGACGACGAGAGGAAGAAAATTCTGTTGAGAGGAGGGCGGAGGGTGGGTAGGGAAGCTCAAAGGGCTGCTCCCGCGGCTTCCTTCGATTTTGAAGTCGAGGATTTCGCATTCAAATGTACAACATGTCAGTAATGATCAGGTCTTGCGACCGGCTGTTTACCGGCAAAAGGAGGCCGAGGTTTTCTCGGCCGAATGAAAATGACGGTCGTGGACTTGGCTTGACCTTGTAAGTCGCCGGCTGGACCGGTCGAATGATGAAATGCGATGTGCGTTCGTAACTCTTCCCGTGCATTGCCCATGACGCGCCTCTTTCTCGTTTTTGAAACCTCATCCGCGCACGCAACGAGCGTGACCCGAAACCCGTGCTGCGGACCCGCGATGCACCGCAGAACGCGCGAGATCGGTCCACTCCCTCGCCGACTTCGCAGCGACGGCGGGCGGGCGATGGAGCGGAGGTAGACTAAATTTGGTGGAGGGGATCGCGGACTGCGGCCGGCGCTGGCGCTGGCGTCCTCGATCGGCAGAGCCGGCTGAATTCGACTGCGTGGCACTCCTCATCGCGCGGGTTCAGCGCCGACGTTTTCTACAAGCCTGTCTGCCACTCCTCCGGTACGGGCACCCGGATTGGCCGAAAGCCCGTAAGGCGATCGTGCGCGGGCGACCCGGAAGCCCGAGAGCCCGAGCTCCTCTGCATATCGTCGTAGATTCCACGACAGCCTCCGCGAAACAGGAACTTGGTGAGCCCTCTAACTCGTCTCGAATTACGGAACGACGAATTCTCTGTCCCTCCCTTTCACGGACCCGCTTCTCGGTCCGTTCACTTCACGGAACGATTCCCCGCTTGTTGGTAACAGACCCTTGAGTTTCGTCTGGATCAGCCCTCAAAAGCGGCGTTTGCAACGTGGATCTCGACGCAGTTATCACCCGTCAACCGCGTGCGGCACGAGTGTACGCAGTTGTACCTTTTCTGGAATCAGAGCGATCACCGTGGTCACATCCCGTAGACAGTTGGGCCCGTTTGGCTCCAACCCTCGCCGGACTGTCAGTCGAGTCCAGCGTTGTACAGTTCAGCACAGCTCAGTAGGTGGAGAAATATCCACAGTTCCGCATTGTACTTGCCACCCTGTCACCATTTCACGTTGGATTCCCTTCTGCCAGGTGGCACGCACTGACAAGTGGCCTCTGACCATCGGACTGGACTGCGGCCGTCCGGCGTGAGAAGGGAGGGTGGGAGAGGGCAGTCGGTCCGATGTGATGTCTGCAATGCAGAGCCCCCTTGAAGAGAAGTCGCAGAGTCTGGGCCCTGGGCCCTGAGATCGAGGCCGCAGGTCCGGCCATCCAGGACGCCAGAGTCATTACTCATTAGTGGGAACCGCAGCAGCGAAGTATGCCCGTCTACACAACACTTCGGTCGAGTCGGACGGAATGTGCTCGGTCCTGAATTCTGCACAATCCAGCCACTCCGTCTCTTTTAAGCAAGCACGTCGAGAATCGAACTGAATACCCGCCCGCCCGTCCGTCCGTCCTGTCTTATCTTATCCTATCCCTGTTTAGCAACGTTGTAATGTACGTACACTGCATGAGCTGCCGGGCTGCTCATACTACGGTACGCCGGTCGGACCGGTGCCCCGGGAGAGCAGAGTCCTGCGAGCCAAAGCCGAGCTATTGGAGAAATTGGAGGTTTCGTTAAATTTGTCTTGAATGCGGGGCGGTGTACCGGAGATTGCCCAGAGGAGGCGGAGAGGCGGACGGCGATGCCGAGCGGGCCGTTCTTCGTTGCCGTGCAGAGCCAACGAGACTTGTGTGACGAAGGACGGAGTCACGTCCAGACCTGCTGGAAGATTCCCTTTCCGTCCCTGGGCTCCTGACTGTGGGTGGCCTGCCTCGTCGTCGGGCAGCAGTGGAAATTCGTCAGCGGGGACTGCGTGTGAGCCTTCCGCTTCGGCCTGGGCGGCCGATGACCTTCATCATGGCAAACGAGGGCGGGATTATGGACCCCGGTGCTGTAGTGCGCTCCTCGTCCCACATCAGATGCACTGAGTAGCAGTCGTAGAGTAGTACATGGACGGTTTGGGATCGGTTTACTGACTCCCCGGGGTAGCCGTCACTTGCTTGCACCTCCATATTGTACCAGCATCCTCTTCGGCATGTCGTATAGCAACGAATGGCGATCATTTCTTCGAGATCACATTATGTGAAATCTTTAACCGCTGTGAAGCTCGGACATATCAGATTCTCAGAGAATGGAATTTCAGCTCGAAGTGAATGCTTTCGCCAACATGACCTGCTTCCTTTTGACCTCACATCAGGAACAATTGAGAGGTTTTGTAGTGCAGTTGTCCCGAACTTCAGCACTAAACAACATTCTCGAACATGCTGTTGGGAAAACGCAAACTATCTCGAAAGAAATGCCTGGTCTAGACGAAGCGGCACCAGCGTTCAGGTCGTCACGAGTCTGTCTGTCTCTATGAACTTTTAGAGGTGGGTTTTAATAATGGTTTTCAGAACTCGCGCTTTACGTAATCCTTGAAGATTAACTCCATGTTCATGGACCACATGCTAGATATGAGCATGCACAGCTGACGCTCATGCAAGATTCGAAAACTCCTTCAGAGCGGTCATGATTACCAAGTACGATCTGTCAAGTTCTCACTGTCAAGCTTGAGTCTGGAAATAGGCGACAAGTCACAGGCGACAATTCGATTCTGAGTTTACTGAGTCGATACAGTTTGATGTGAGCAGGAATGTCAATTTCTCTTTCGCAATCACGTCCTCGACTTTACGACCGCCCACCGAGTCCAATTTACGACTCGGTGGGCACCCTGAGGTAAAAGTGCGACTGAAATCTTTAAAAATCCGGGATTCCGTCCTATTTTTTAACTGAAGTCGGCCCAACCCAATGATGGGTGGCTCACAACTTTCGGCAGGCAGAATTTCCTCGACTGGGGCCACATGCATGATTGCTGGAACAATTCTCAATCCTATCATTCAAATTCTCCGATCGATGTATCCAGGACACCACCTGTACGACCTCTCTTCCTTCGACTCTATTCTATTCGACTCTATCAGACTTTTACAGTAACTAATTCAATCAATTCGAAACGAGGTTTGTTTGCAGTGAGATGCGGACGAAGGGATGACCCGCGGATACTTACACAAGAACCGTCACGCCGCGAACAAAGACGTGATTCTTTTGTCGTGGCTCTTCATCCGCAAGCTTGTTGCTGTCGACATTACTGATTGGACCCAGGTCGTTGCACTTTCCGAACGCATATGGAATATGGACGCAACAAGTATCAGGCGAATCTCATTCTCGAGAAGATCTGATAAGAAGCCCAGACTTGCCCACCAACAATCAAGGGAATGTGTCGAGTCACTGACTCAATGCGACGAGTTGTCAGAGGCATCACGTGCACAATGATTCAGCATCCCGAACTTTGGCGGTCGGGTATGGTACGTTCTACGACATATAATGAAATCCTTACGACAAGCGTTTTGCAAGATTCCTCTAAATCCTTACATCGGCTTCGACCGTTTTGCAACATTTCCAGTCTCACTTCCTCCATGATAACTCAGAGAATCATCAAAAGTCTACCGGAGGACTGCACTGAACAAGCAATCTCAGCAGATCGAACTTCCCAGAATAAACTATTCAGAAAAGAATGCCGATGGTTGCTCGACGCCAGTGCAGGACACGTCGAGCATGCGCGAGCATCGGATGTGGACAGATTACTCCTTCTAGAGACTTGACAAACGCACTCCCTCCCATGATCATCTATCCCGTCACTGCGGGCGGGCGGGCGTCCGGAACTCCTCCTATTTTCAGTAACTTCATCTCGCCTAAACTTAGATCAACCACGTGCCGCGGCGAGAACGAGAAGCAATCGATCTCCTCCCGACACGTCTCTCTGGTGAAACGCAATGTTCATCAGCGTGAGCTTGTGACATTCAGATCGAATGATCGCTTCAAAACATCATGGAAGCAACGAAAAGGCCCTGTACCGAAGAACGGAAAGAGATGCGCCGAGTCCTCTCTCTCTCTCTGAAACCTGTCCGATTGCTGCAGCGGTTGCAGTTGGAGTCAGTCTCGATGGCACGAGTTTATTACAAACAATGCACGAGTTGTTGGAAGCTCGAGTGGAGATGCAAGACAGCGGCACTGGCACCGTGGAGAAGGATCATGATAACGAACGAGAGAATATCAGCGGGAGGGGTTGAACGAACGAACGAACCTACGTCGTGCCGAGAGAACAAACAAGACAACAACTCTGACGATTGCGCTTACCGAGGAGAATGAGAAGCTGTGCAGTGTTTTTCTCAGATTCTCTTCGGTCCTTGTGATTGAAAGCAGAACGTTCATCCGAAACGCCCTACGTCGCTTGCTTTCTCAACCGGCAGCACAAGTCCCACTGCCGCTGGAGTTCACCATAATCTGCAACGAACAGTGTGGTGGTTGATTTGGCTCTAATCAGGATGCTCGTATGCAACCAACGCCCTGCGGTTCTCATGCACTCTGTCCGACATGAAACCCCGGAGCCCGCTGACAACTGTACATTCCTAGAGGAATCATCAGAGTACGGTTGTCGTGTATCCGATTGCATCTCGTCTTGTATCTTCCTCGAGAGCAGTTCTCGGCGTCCGCTCGAAGGTGAGTGGCAGAATTCGTTTCCTAGCTCACGTACGTCACTGCAACGGAGAGAGTTCGGTGGAGTCTGAGATTCGCACTGTTTCTCGAGTTGGTGTTCCGCCGATAGCGAGCGACGTATTCTAAATATTTTGCTTCATGCTCGTTCGACCATTCGACTCCGGTGCTGCAAAAACCACGATCCGTCTGACGAATGGTCGAAGCAAGGGGTTGAGTGTTGATCCAGCACTCCAGCGCTGCTGGCTCGAGATGTCGCACTGAATGCCCGATATAATGACTCAGACAAAGAAACAGCAGATGAAGATCGCAGGTTCCTCCGAAGGCCGACAATAGAGCATCACAGCACGGCAGAAGCGGGCTTGCTGTATCTGCAAATCAGGATGACATGCCATTACTCATTCACATAAATGCGGGGATAATTATCGAGTGCTGATCGGAGAGAACCTTGAGTCGAGAATATTTAGTAAAAGCAAACTTCGTGGACTCTTGGCCAATGAAGAACACGGCCGGAGCTGCTTTTGGATCTCCTTGGATGAAACTGGCTGGACGCTGTCTAAATTTGGTTGAAATGAGCGAGGATTTCACAAGATTCCCATCCGTTCACGGTCGCAAAGATGCAGCTTTTCATCGATGTTTTCTAAAGCCAGAACGAGGACAAGATCTGTGATTGGAACGACTCGTCGTCGCTCATGTGCCCTGCAGAAATTAAAGAACGCTTTTAAAGCTTGCGAGTTCCTTGGACACCAGGGCAGGGCTTTTTTTTAGCCTCAGAGCCTTGGCATATTACATATATGGCAGTGACAGCGAATCTCAAAAGGCTCATCATCGAGCTGGGTAAGCGCAAGGCTGCAAGCCCCACGGTGCGGGATTGCGGGACTGCGGGCAATCGGCATCATTTCGGGCCCATCAAGTGCCACCTCGTCTCCAGAATTTGTCCTCCACGGACAGGGAAGTCGAGACGACTTCTCGACGCCCTCCAAGGTCTCCTGCAGATTCCAACAGAATTCTTCTGTTCTGCACCTGGACGCTTCCTGAATCCTGTCAACATTCGGGTGGGGATGTTTGCCATGTTCTCGTTATTCAGCTCCTCACTTTTCTGAGGGAGGTCTCTATTCGAAACTCGTAAACAACAAGTTATATAGCAAGAGGAAGGGAAGTCCATCCGCAAGGTCTGTAATCCGCTTGTAGCATCCAAAGCCCAATGTGAAGAACCCAAAGAGAGTTCTTTCATGTACCATGATTTGTATCAACCCAATTCCAAACTATGAAGTCCACAACTCTTTAACTGAACTCTTTAAATGCTATTAGTGATCTGGCAAATAATATGATCGCTGCAACAGCCTTTTTCAGATTCATGTCCTGACGTGTAGAGGAACTTATTATTTAATGCTGCATACAAGTTTTATTTCGATTGGTACGAGACACAGATCTCGACAGCTTTGGTGCTTGCGTTTTCATCCTTTTCAGATACATGATGTATGTCACATCAAATTATTTTTATTTGACGTTACGAAATTTCTTATACATGCTTTAACAGACAAGGTATATGATATATCTTTTCAAGTAGGATTTATTTCAACAAAATTCCAGTTCTCAAATCTTCGTTTTGCACACCTTGGACTGTTAGACATTTAGTACATGTTTATATGAAAACTGATAGCTACATGATGTAATGTCTTACTATCTTAGATATTATTGAGATATAATTAGAAGTAGTTTGAACAAGTTTCATTTGTCTTGGTTACGTCACATAATTCAGTTACAATGCAGTCTTTTAAAATGACCTTGCTGCTTTGTTCTGTTTGTTTCTAAAGTTTGTTTGCCGTATGTGATTCGGATTGTTACATGCAGAAATCACTGGAACTTTTTTCCTCTAATATATCCTCAGTTCTTCAATTGTAACATCTTATAAAAACTATCGATACATTATTTTATGTTAAATAGGAGAATATTCAATAAGCGAGAAGAAATTGACGGATAATTTATAAATATTGACAGACGATAGCTGAGTGATTAAGTTGTAATTTGTGGTCTAGGTGTTAACTTAAATTTTTTGTTTCTAAAGTCATGCAAACATTGCATTGTCCAATATCGATTGTAAAATTGGTTCTTTTAGGTTCTCATCAAACCAAAGGTTTTGTTACGACATATGAAATTCAGTTACAGATTTCAATATATAAATGCTTAAGTTTCAGAAAAAAAGATTTGTTGTTGTACATTTCTCAGCCTGTGATCTTGACTTGATAACTATCAGCGTACACCCCACAAAAGCGCTAGTGCAGAGATGAAGGCAGGTGGTCAAACAACCGCACCATTTTAGAGAAGACTCATGTTTGCATCGCTGTATTTGCTGGCTACAGTGGGATACTATGTTCTGAATCGAAGGATGTGCATATATTCGATGCTTATTAATTCTTTTCTCCTGTCTCATCGACATAAGCGAAGTGGAATGCTGGGATACCCAGGAGATAGCGAGCAGGGAAGGATCTCAGAATGAAGAGGAAGTGGGTGATGGGTGATAAGGCCGGTGCCTCCTGTGCTGCTAGTCAACGTGAGCAACATTTTTGTTGACATCAATCTATTAATGTCAACAAAGAATTCAAATGTTGTATACATAGTAATTACAGTAATCGAATCACAGCTCCAAAATTGTGTATTAAATTTTTTTGGGAACATAGTTTAATTATATTTTTAAAAATTAAAATTTAAAAAATAAAAAACCACAAATGACAAAGAAAATAAAAAACATACATATTTTAAAGTAGATGAAAGACAAAAAAAAACTGATCATGAGTGTTATGTTCTGCATGATTTAGCTACCAACATCAATAAGTTTTTAGAAATTCAATTGATAGAAATTATCACAATACAATTGAGTCAAAACAAAGTTACATACAATAAAACATCACAACATTCAATATAATGTTATATAAATTATAATGCATATAAATAAATGTAAAATTTTTACAACGTGTTTTTAAAAATTTTATAATAAATTTCTTCATTTCAAATCCATATAAAATTTAAAGATTATTCCAAAGTATATACATATGATATGTCATTTAAGCAGCATACATGTGATTTATATACATAAAATCACAATGAGATATAATATGTTCATGAAACAATCATATTTGATCTAGTAATATTTAGGTAGTTATCATGTAAAATATATGGCTTTGCATGAAATATAAATCTGGATATAAATAAAACGATCAGGTTGAATGTTGAGACACATTTTACTAAAAGTTCAATGATTATTAGATCTATGATAAAAATATTCCAATATTTGTATCATTCACGAACCGAAATAAAGATATAACAAACACCTCCACCCCACATATATGTCTTTTTAAGCTATATCAACTTTCTGATATAATTCCAAATAAAAAAAACTATAAGAGATTAACTTAAAATGTCATATTAAAATTTGTTTATTTATCAGCTCTGATGCATAAACATAATATTTTATGTTTTCTTCAATACATTACATTTATATAAAATTAATGTAATAAGTATTATACCACAATGAGGAATATGAATTTTAAACATATATTGTTATTAAATTTATAATTTCACTAGTAATTAATTCAAATATCCATGAATGCATATGTTGTAAGTATATGTTTTTTTATGATACAAAAGTTGATAATGACAAATAAAAAACTTAAACAAAATTATTCAAACATATTTACTCTTTCTATTCACGTACACACTGTTTTAATAAGTGTAAAAAAAATAACCAATATCACAACTCACATACTTTAAATGAAATTTAAATATGTAAATTTCATTATACTAAATTCGAAAAGTCTTCAAATATAAATTCGCTTTTTAAAAAAAATGACTTCAGCTACTAAGTGATGTAAATGTATGATGATCATTACTATTATGATGTTTTGTCAACAAAATAAAGCCGCATAACAAAGTGAGTTAAATTAATATACTATATATATCATATTGAGTTATCATAGTTATATGAATCACTTTTGAATTTGATACACGCATATGTATTGTTTAAATAGAATATGAATTAAATAAATTATATATAATTTTTTTATTTACAAATATAATAGATTTTTTTTAATTATGGTAAGATCAGACTAATAATTCATTTGTTAAAAATCTTGTTAAAGGTTAATAAGTTGGGAAACATCTCAATTTTTATAAATTCTTAATATTATGAGTATGAAAACCTGATGATAGAAGAGGCTTATTGAACACATAGATTGAAAACTTATGAATTTTTTCCATTATAATGATGATTTGAAATTATATTCAAATATTCAGGCCAATATTTATATGTATACATCAAAATGTTATATCTTTGATATACTTTTATCACCTACAATTGTACAAATGAAACTTAGACTTATCTTAAGCTATATGAATCAATTTATAATCACAAATCTGAATGAGAAACTATAAATTATTATTTACTTTCATTTATATTCACATATAAATGGTTTTAAATACTAGATTTTTTCAGGTATATTCATATTTTATAAATAAAATATAATTTATGAGAATAAAACAGTTTATAAGATCTATTGCTCTATTTTATGTATATTTGATATTTTCATATGGTATTTAAATGTTTTTAATATAATTTGTATAAGTAGATAATTTGCAACATATTAGTTTTTGCCATATGATATGATAACAAATTTTTAAAACATGGTATGAAATCTATGATGAATGTGATTTTTTTTATAGGTAATCAAAATTATAAATAATATATTTTAATATCATTTAAACATATTATGAAAATTATAGTAATTTTTGAGTTTAAATGATTTCAGTTTAGTTTTTTTCAATCAATAATTTATGATTTTTCCATATATTTTGTTTGACAATTATCAATTATAATGAACTTTTTTCAAATATCATAATCAATATTAATATTTTAATAAGAATTTTTCTATAAATGAATACTGAATTTTGTTTAACTATTTTTTATTACAATTTTGTACTTAGACTCGTATTTACATTTAAACTTACATTATTTATGATTGGGATGTTTCATTTCATATTTCAATCTTTTCTTGTATATAAATTTCATAATTTCCAATTAGTTTTAAAAAGCATTTATTATGTTTTTTTCAAATATATTTTGATGTTTTTCGTATATTTTATTTTTTTATGAAATTTTCATTAATTCATCGTGTTTACAAATCACAAATTGAAATGTGATATATAATTTTATTTTTATTTGTTATTTTTTGATTTAAAATTTTGCAAAACAAAAAATCATGTGAATTTATCATTTATTAATATTCAATATGAATGATTGAATTTAAAATTTAAATAATATAAATTTTATTTGATACATCAACGTATTGAGGTTATCTTGTAAATTTGGATATTTTTTTGTATTTTAAGTTTTACGTAAAGATAAATTAAGCAAAATTTGAATTTTGTAATATTTTATGTATATATATATTTATATATTTAAATATTTAATACACCAAATACTTCTCATATTTTTTTAAGGTATCAACCTTCTTTCAGATAGTAAATTTTCTATTATTTAGATATAGTTGTTAATTGTCATGAATGAAAGAATTTTATTCAACTTATCCTATATTTTTTTGAATATAAATTTGTTTTTCATCTTTTGTTTTATTATCGTTCATATTTGTTTATGGAGATAAGATTTGATAATTTTTCCCTTTTTATAAAAAATCATCAACTGAAAACTCATTAATCAATAATAATGATTTCAAATTTTTGTTCGTAATGTATTTAATCTTAGTAAATAAGGATTGATACATATTAAACATATATTAGAATCTGATTAAAATAAATAACAATAATGATGTGATTCAGTTGATTTATGAAAGATTCATTGTTGGATGTGAATAATTGAACATGTAAGATCATATTTGGATTTGAGTTTTCTAACACATAAAGAGCATACTTGGAATTGGATTAGGGTATAATAAAATGAACGTTGCATGTGATATTATTTCATATAACACAATATATAATTATGTACATGACTCTTGAACTATGAAACTTTATCTAGAGTATTATGAACAGAGTTCACTTCTTTGTATTTGAGCTCATCTATCCTCTCGTTTTGTAGTTTTATAAAGCTGTGTACAGTGACTGTGGATAATTCATGAGCTATCAAAATACATTAAGCTAATGACATGGACAATATTAGTTATTCAATGATTCAAAACAAGATGATTCCACAAATTACATTGTAGTATGTATATAATTTCTATTGGATAGCGGAATTTAGCGGAATTTACCATCTTGACCCTATTCGTTCATAGAACCATCTTGACCCTCGGAATTCATCAATGTAAGACTTCATTTCATAGGATATACTCGCCGTTTTTTTTATACTATCTTTTACCCTTGGAATCATACACAGGTTTGCATAGTGTTTATGGACCTGTCTCCACCAAATTCTGTTAGATCTCGCCTACAGTGATTGAAATCAAAATGGGATGTCAAAGCCAAATAAAAAATAACAAAAAAACAAGTGGCACAAAGGTACATGTACCGAAAGAAGTTTGCTAGATTTTTCGATTCTTGAATGCCGAGGAATCCTCCGATGAACTGGTTCAAAAAATAAAACACACCAGAGTTCCCTTGAACAATGCCCTCCCGCTCTTTATTATCCATCACTGGCCCCAACGATAGATTCTATAGCTCCCTATAAATCAATATGTTTTCTTTTCAAACCTAACGCTTAGTAAAAACGATTGCCATGATGATATAATAGAAACATGAGCACCCACTCTCTCGACAAGAACCAATGGACGGGACATAAATTACCTACCTAATGGCATTATTACCATGCATTGCAATGAGTAGTGCAGCGAATGCAAAGCCACGCGGTCAAAAAAGCGATCCCTGAAGTTGTTGGGCTTGTCTTTTCTCAGCTGTAACTACGGTTTTGTACATTCCAAGGTTGTAGGGGAAGGAGACCGGAGATGCCGGTGACGATATGAAATGTAGATCCCATAGAACCGGTGAGAAGCGAGATCCACTGACAGTTGGAACCTCCAGGATGGGTAAAAAATACAAAGATGATGTTCTTTCTAAAGTGGATAAGCGGACAAAAGAGTGGTCCTTGCTGCAATCCAGCTGAGGAAAAAGCCAGACACAAGGGCAGGAGGATGTAAGGCGTGCGTACTTAAGAGAAGGCGCACTTTGTCCCATCCGAGATCCAGACCTAAGGAAAAGTCTTGCGAGAAGACTTACGAGTCAGACGAGCTGCATGTCGTTTATATAAGGAAAGTGATAAGAGAAGTCTCCGCTGCAGATCAATCGACGTGACAAATACATGACCGTCCTTGCGGGGGAATTCCAAAGGCAGGCTGCGTCCTTGCGATGATTTGCGTCGTAAAAATACCGTTTTTGGATCGGTGCGAGATGCGGCGAATTTTCAGTCCCAGATTTGACAACGCTCATTTTTTAATGACGAGTTCGAGGTCAAAGATCAAGAGAGGTGCGGCTCAAACAGTCTCGTCTGAGGGCGATCGTGCGTCCTTAACATGAGGAGATAGTCGCCGAGAGCGTCTTAATTAAGGGTAACGCCTTGGCTCACATTCGTCGGGTCGGTCGCGTCGCCATCGCTGGCTACGGTATCCGGGTAAGGAGGTTACCGACCTGGGCAAGCAAGACTACCATGTACGTTATAATAGCAGGACACTCATGTCGGGTTGAAGGTTACCCAGTAGGCACGATACCGGGTCCATGAAGTGCTCCTGATGCTACAGTAAGCGCGTCCATATGGGGAGACATGCGGAAGTGAGTTCCGTCGTCGTGACTCGTGAACTGGCATCTGAGGGCCGAGAGTGACGGAGGGAGAACCGTCCGTGGTAAATACCGATGTAAACTCTCCTACCGACATCCACAATCCGAGGACCTTCCGTGGCTCCTTCTCGAGTGTGTAGGATACGGACGAATCCGGTAATCCTGAGGCTGCGACGCCAATGGGAAGCGCCGCAGGCTCAGAGGAGATGAAAGCAATCGGAATCGCGACGCCGGTCGCGTGGATGGCTCACCGGGACCGTAGTGAGCCGACGTAGGAAGACCTAGGATGGATCGACCGGCGACTCGGCGCGAATCCGACGACCGGCCGAGTAGAGCAGGGCAGAGCTACGTCGGAGCTTGCTCACGGCAGCGGACTTTGGCGCGAGCTGGGTGGGAGCCGGGTGCGCGCTACACGACACGACATGAGATGACATGCCATGACATGTAGCGAAGGAGAGGAAGCTGGGAACATGTGCGGAGAGTGTGGGCTGGGCTCTGGGGTGGGGAGCGGGGGAAGTCGAGGACGGGCGCCAGACGGGACGGGCAGGCAGGGCAGGGCAGGACAGGGCCGGGCCGGGAGGGTGTTTCGAGTGTGTGGGCGGACGAGGCCTCGGCATTGGAGAAGGCTTCGTGCTGCACAGAGCGAGAGAGCGAGAGAGAGACGAAGGAAAGGAGGAAGGGAGGAATGCGCACAGTGCGCAGTGTCTAGAGCTAGAGGCGATGGGCTGGCGGCGTCTGTCTGCGAGTGTTTTGTCTGTGGAGTGGGGCGGAGGATGGGATGGGATGGGGAGGGCAGGGGAGGGGAGTCGAGAGCAGCAGCGGCAGCAATCACACGTGAAAAGAGTGAGTGGAGGGCAGCAGTAGCAGTAGCAGGTAGCGGAAGGGTGGAAGAAATTGCGATTGGAATTTAGTCGCTACAGGGAGCGAGGAGGATTACGGCCGAGAGTATATCTCGTGCATCTATGCGTCGGTCGGTCTTTCTTGCTTTCTCTCTGTCTATCCATGTCTTTATCCGAAGCTAGGAACCGCTGCGTGTAGAAAGAAAGGCGGAGGAATTGAGCATTGTGGGAAAGGATGGTGGCATGATTAGGAGAGGGACCTAAGCAGGCAGGCACTAGCGAGCGAGAGGTGGGGAGAGGGAGAGAGGTAAAAGAGTGGTGAACCACCGCCTGATGCCTTGTGGACGATTCTCAGTGGATGGTGGTCCCCAGTCGGCCTTCTTCCACGACTGCTCTGCCGCGGCATCCTTTGTGCTCTCCTTCACCCGGCACTTCGCAACAAACTCCCTCGCCCCCGACGGACAGGCCAGCGACGCAGCGAGAGTGAGTGCGGAGAGCGAGCGCGAGTGAGGGCTGCGGAGATCGTCGACTGGCGTGACTCGCGGTGATGGAAGCAGGTTTCTGTCTGAGGACGTTGTGGGGCTTATGAGCTCATGGGTATGAGGAATTCGGTGAAGGTGACATTGTTGGGGCCTGTTATCGGTCTTTCCTTCGCGGAACCTCGAGATCTGCAATGGCCGTCATGGTTAGGACCGCGCCTGGGGTTGAGCTTCAGGGGCTGATTGACGTAGTGCGCAGGGTCGGCAGATCGTAGTGCTACTCACGAGACTGACAAATTGAACACCCACGCGATCGAACGGAACAACGGTGATTCTCGACAGACGTAATGATGGGCTGTAAACGGAGGGACAAGATGCGCCGGAAGGTTATGGCTTATTCGTGACCGTAAGCATGGCTGCGAGTGGATTGAAGACCGAGATTAATGTGAGCAATTTGGGTGTCGAGGGCCCGTGGAGCCACAGATGCGGATGGACTCGTAGCCTCGTTTAGTGTAGTCATTATAACTCTTATGTGAAGGCCCCGCTGGACGCAATGTGGGTATAGGAGCAGGGTGGTAGTAGAATGCGGTAGCAGTGTAGGCACTATCGTTTATGTCGAACGCGAGAATGAGCGCAGAGGAAAATGTGGAAGGTCAAGAACAGGAAGACGAAGTAGAGAGCATGGGGGATGGAGGAATTTCCGGGGCTGACAAGGCTTTTAGGAGGAGAGGGTCATAAGGTTAGGAACAAAGTATAAGTACAGATTACAGAGAAGGTGAGACTCGCAAGCCACTGAAAACGCTCGCCACTTTCGGGCAACTGAGGATTCTGCGATTAGCATTTGTGTTATGTTCGCCCTTAGAGAAGAGTCATGTCTTAGAGCTTTCCCAAATCTTTAGCTCTGAAGAACTTTTGTCCTGTCATATACTTGTGAGCTAGATGTTGACGGAGACCTGAGTTGGTTACCAACATGGGATTATGCCATCCTGAGTGGAGCAAGTAATGATAGCTGACATCTTCGCATGAGAGTCCGAGGGTCGCAAACACTTTCAGTCATGGGAGATTGGTTTCGTGTGGCCTGTTCTCAGTGCCATTAGACTCAGATCTCGTCGAATCAGGCTATGTACAATGCTACGCCTTTGGCAGAGTGTTGGTTCTGCACTCCATTGCCTTGAAGTTATTTTCTCAATCGCAACACCACATTGAGCTGCCGTCGCGTGGAGTAGCACTTCCGTTTCTTTCATCAATTAAGTGCCCAAGAGTTCTCAGTAAACATAATTACCTACGAAAATTAGTGCCCTTAAGTTGATTCATTTCCGGGTCACTTCTGCGCAGGCCATGGCGGATCTATCTACAACTGGACAACGGTTCAGGCGCATCGCGCATAGTGGTTCAATGAACGACATTGATCCTATGGTTTTTCCCTAACCCACTTTAAGAGCTTTTGTTTTGGGTTGCAACAAGTCCCTAAACGGCAAGCAGTTTTTGTCCTTGTGTAAGCATGCGGGCACCTAGTCCTGAACGTACCGTCCGTTTGGACTGCAATGAACTTCCCCACTTTCAGCATTTTGCTCAGGCTTTGAGTATAGAGTGTGGGATCCGTTGCTCCTTCCTGCGTCCCAGGCTGTAATGATGACGGGGTCAAAGCACGTTTCTTTCGTCTGTGATGATTTGGAGACTCTGTTATCTTCCACCAATCCTTCTTCTGTCCCACATTTGTTTTGGACGTGAGCAATTCCATATGCCCATAAAAATGCAGTGGCATCGTTCTCGTACAGGCGTATGTTCTCCTCAACAAAAATTTTCAACCCCCAAATTGACCAGTGGCAAAATCGTCCATCTATGCAGCTTCATGGCGATCTGGAACAGTGGCCACACATCAAAGAGCTCGTCCTTATCCACAAGGCAGATTGGGTTAAGGATGAAAGCAAATATGGTCATTATGAGAGTGTTCCACATCCTTCTTTCGAGCAACCAACTTTTGAAGGGCCCGATACGGACATCGAAACAGGTAAGATGATCTTTATGGGTGTTCTTCAAGCAAGTTCGGCTCTCAGAGCTGAATGAAGGTTATGGAAGGCTAAATCACTGGTTACTACTTGGCAGAGCACCGGCTAGCAAATGGACGACGTGGTCGAACTGCAGAAGTTTTAGATGACGATGATCCCAGCACTTCGGGCAGACTCTCTGTCGCGAGTGAATACGAAGTCTCACATGAAAAGAAGCTGCCAAAGGTATGCGTTCAGCGGTGATTTGTCCGTGCGTGAAGTAATGTGGCCAGAGCAACCAATTACGAGGTTGCGTCGTTAACAACAAAGTATGCAAGTGAAAAAATGCTATTATCATTGAACGACATTCAGACAGAATGTAGTGTTCCATAAATTCACCGAACACGATATGTCAACTCGAGCAGTGAAGAGCTTGCATGCATGCACTACGCTTTGCGTCATGTTTATGCCCTCTATTTAACCTGCTCTGAACAACGGACTGAGGTATCAAGATATCCTGTTTGCAGCATTTTGGTCCGGCTCCTTTACCAGCCTACGACCCTGTGTTTAGCTGGGAAACAGAAAGGGCTACTATATATGGGCAGAGAGTACCTGTCCTACCAGCGGCCCTCTCTCATAGGTAAATATAGTGAATGATGCGCCTGCGAATATGTAAATTACCGTACACGTTCTCTCAACTCTGAAAATCGATGTGGTTAGAGAGAGAAGTGTTTCAAGATTTTCTTTATATGTTGACTTCGACAATTTTTCAATACATAAACGGGCCTGTTTGTGACGAAAGACCTTTCTGTTGGAAATTTTGCAGCGGGCTGAAATTGTCCGTTAAAGTTCTCTCACTTAACTTTCATGCTGGACTAGTCGGTGAGTTCCGAGGACAAGGAAAATCCGCAATTTTGTCTTTAAATTTTGTCTTAAATTTATGCTAGCAGAGGAGATAGACTTTGGGTTCATTGATGTTCGTGGGTAAATGGGATTGATTTTTTTCTCAAATGTGAGCTATATACCAAGGATACTTATTTTGAATTTGAGTTCCTGTGATAGAATTCATCCAATACACTTTAACTTGATGTTAGTTCGTTCCGAGAAGGAATGAATTGAACAAGTGTCGCATGTGTTACAAGGGAATGTGTTTTTAGAAAGTAAACGCAGATGGTATTGTATGTTTTTCATGCTACAAACCTGGGGCTGAAACCTGTCTTCCGTTAAGGACACCGTGAGGCAATCACCGTGCACTGAGCACCAAAGATACATACTCCACTGTCATGCAGAACCTATATATGGCACTGTTTGCTTATATCATCGAGAAAGGAGGGAGAAGCTTTCCGAAGACTTTTACTTTCAGTTCAGTCCTAACGACTTTCAGGAGGTAAGCTCCTGGCTTTCTGTTCGTTAAAACAATTTGGGGGATTCCTTTGTCTGCTATTGATGAATCCTATTGATTCGTATGTTGATATTTGCGGTAGATTCGTATCGGTCTTTTTTCACTCCAACCTCAACTTGGTGATCTGTCTCGATGTATTGCAGCCAGGAGCACCCCCGTACAGGCGTGCCATATTTTCACTTGATTCCCCTACGGCTCCTGTCTGTCTCCTTATTCAGCTTGAGAAACATGCAACGGAAGAAGGCGGTGTTACCCCTTCCGTCTATTCTCGGAAAGAACCTGTAAGTTGTTTCGACTGTCAGCACTGTCTCCGAAATTAGGCGTGTCTCAGCTTGGCAGTCATTGTCACATGATACTTGAGGTCTACATTCAGGGGCGTATTATCCTTGTATCGATTATGTGGGTCTCTCGAGTTTAAGGTACCATTAAGGTATAAGGTACAAGGTACAAGGTATAAGACTATATGTTCGTTCGCTCTACTTCGTAGTCAGTAATTCATTTAGAGTCTTTGGTACACTTTTCTCTGTTTCTGTTCTAGGATTACTTTTGAGTTTATTTGCCGCTGCAGAGTGCTTATTGTTGGCTGGATTCTGAGCGGCAAATCTTTCACCTTCGCGTGCAGGTTCATTTGACTGAGAGAGAGAAACAGAAACTTCAAGTATGGGCTAGAGTCATGCCTTACCGAGAACCCTTTGCTTGGGCAGCAGTTCCACTTTTTGACACGACAATGTCCGGAGTGGGTGGTTTTCCATCTCCAAGTAGTCCCCTTCCTCCCGGTATGCTAAGTACTAGCTTGCTTGAGGGTGTGGATTTGGACAGTGGCAGATCGGATAAACAACACGAGGGTGGTGGCCCTGTGTTAGTGGACATCCCAGGATTGAATCGGGTCAAAGAATGCTACAGCGAAGAGTCACTGCAGGTGGGTTGTGGCTTGCAAGTTCCTTGTCTAGAATGTATCTGCGCCTGTCGTCCTGTTTGTGCCTTTGTCGATATACATCTTCATTAATTGTTTGGGTTGTGTTAAGGATGACCTTAAACGATGCTGCGGTCGGTGTGGTTTTGTTGAAATGTCGCTACGTTGTCATTTCAGTTCATGTACACTTTCATTGACTTTTCAAGAGCTTGCAATTTGGCAAAACAGCAATGTTCTGTCAAAGTCTGATTTGCGAAGGTTTATTGGCAGGATCCTAAGCGGAAAGTACACAAGCCTGTCAAAGCAATGATGCGTTTGGAAGTGGAGAGAATACTTCCAGAAGACAATGATGTGGATACCTTCTCAGAAAGCAGCAGCATCAGCAATGGATCAGGGGATGGAGACGGCCGCATTGGAGACACGTCATTGAGGAGTATCGGGAAGTCGGGAAGAGCCTTGTTTAATGGACGGCCGAAATGGAGTGCGGGTGATCGTAATGACAGTGGGAAACACAAGTTCAGCAGCTTTTCAAGCGCGAACAGTCCGGATCATCAAACGGCAGATGTACGGTCTTCTATCGTGTTTTGTCAGCAGAGTATTGAGACCATTGTACTTTCACGTGTGAAGGCATGGAGAGCCGAGAAGCACCTATTGCTCTGCGGGGTCTGGATTTTGTTCCTCGTCTGTTGTTAAGACTATACCAGCAAAATGTTTAGCTTCACAAATTACCGGATTTTTACTTTACTGAAGATGTGTGAATGAACCTTGTTGTAAGGATGAGCTAGTGTTTACGAGGCCAGAGCGTTGACCATATGTTTGTCACATCTGTCTGGCGCAGTTTCGAGCACTGGAATTCCGGGCCCTTACAAAGAATGAGCCCTTTAATCAGCTTTTGCACAGTCTTTATGTGTACCCACTCGCCGTTAATATGAGCAAGAAACGCAATCTTTTTATCCGGGTGGAGCTGCGGAAGGATGATGTTGATATACGCAACCCTGCTCTGGAGGTAGGACTATCCGACATATTATAAAATTGGCAGTTCCTGTGATTTCGCGCTCTCCTGTTGATAGGTTCTTCAGCCTAGCTCTTGTCCAGCTTCATGAACAAGCTGTCGCGTCTACGTTTTGAAGTCAACCTATTGTAAGTTTTCTTGGATTGTACTAAATAGAGGTGCTAACATTTTGGTACGACCACTTCCTTTCAGGCAGTCTACGCCAGAGACGGTAGTAACCGTATTCAAAAGTTTGCTCATTCTCAAATAGCTGTAAATGCCCGTACAGCTCACTACCATGATGAGTTCAAGCTACGTCTTCCTGCGGTTCTCACTCCTCATCATCACCTAGTCTTCACCTTCTTTCATGTCGATCTCCAGATGAAGCTGGAGGCACCTAAGCCGGTAAGATTTTTGAAGCTAATCTTGAATTACCAGCACTCGAAATGAGTACTGTGGAACAGTTATTCGGTTACGAAACTCTCTCCAGTGACCTTGCCTAGTCAATCTGGTTTTCAATTTCAGAACATGATCAGTAGAGGCCTAAGATCCGCTGATTGTTAGGGTCGACATGGTCCTTGTCCAGGATAGTTTTATACCTTTTGATGCAGACATGACTTATTAAAATTAGTTCGTTGAAAGCATTTCTCGAGCAGGTGACTGCGTACACGTTATAGACTGCTAAGTCGTAAAAATATATTTGCAAATAGATCGATGCGAGTGAATGCAAAGAAAATGTTTCTACGTTTAATAATTTCGGTTCCTTTTACAGGTAGTTATGGGATACTCTGTTCTTCCACTGTCGGCAGGACCCCAGTATGTTTGAACCCTCTATTTCTCATTTTCTTTATGTTGGGCGCCATGGTGACAAAGGCTAGTGATTACAGTTGTTTATGTTTGTAAAGATAGAGATAGCAAGAGACGTCTTACTGTATTTGAATCTGTAGGATTATAGTTTGATAGATTGTTTCGCAGCGTGCTGGTGCCCATCATGGATACGAGTAGACAGAAGCATGCGAACTTCAAGTCCAACCGGTGGCTTTGTTGAAGAGAGCAATGTCCAGTATTTGGCGCTCCTGTCATGTCTAAGGTGTATTTTGGTTAAGGGGACTTCTTAGTGTGCCTCTTTCTATGCGAATGTGCTAATCTAATATTGACTTGTTGATCTGTGCAGAGTTCTGAGATCTGACGGAAGCTTGCCCATAATGAAAGAGTTGCTTCCACACTATCTGCAAGATGGTGTAAAGGTATGTTCTTAGCGGCTATGAAGCATCGAGGACTGCAATAATTATGACGCTGCAAGTTATGGTAATGTCATACGATAGTACAGACCAGTGAGAAGAATCTGGTCCGCGCATGTTTTAATGAACTCTGTGGCATCACGTTGCGTGTGCAGGAGCGGATGGAACATCTTGAAGATGGAAAGAGCGTGTTCCGGTTACGCTTGCGTCTTTGTTCATCACTTTACCCAATAAATGAGCGTATTCGTGACTTCTTTACAGAGTATGATCGGCATATTCTCCGAACTAGCCCTCCTTGGGGTTCGGAACTTCTTGAGGTACATCTGAACAGTATACTTCAGATAGGGTGTCATATGAGAAATATGATGCACCATCTGCTTTCTCACCAAATGCGTGCAGGAGTTTATTTTCTTTATCATAACTTTCTTCCAGTTCTGCACTTCTGCTGATATCAGACTGATGACATTCCTACCTGACGCATATGAATCAGGCCATCAACAGCCTAAAGGTTGTAGACCCGACTGCAATGCTACAATTTTTGCAACCCATCCTGAACATGCTGCTTCGGATGATCGGGGATGGTGGCGAAACTTTGCAGGTTGGTACTCGTTCTTGTTGCACCCACCTGTTAATGTGTTTTTGAATGAATGGGCGAGCTGTTTTCGAATGGTTTCTGAACTAGGGATCGAAGAAAATGTCTTTCAAGAGAACAGAATTTAGCGAAGACGAGGAGGTGAGGTATATGTTAGCGTCATCTACAACCACGGTCATCGCCCGGTCTTTTTCTTTAGGCTTATTACGTCCTCCTCTCGCTCCACACGTAGTTTTTTGTTTTTCTTACGGGTCCACTGGTTACTATCCCCTGAGCCTTCTCCAGTATTCTGTTTGATTATTACACTGGGTGTGGGTGTGAGACTAAAGACTAGTTCCGGTCTAACTTGTCAGTAAGTATCATCAATCTAGATCGGTAATGTCTTTTGTCTTTAGAGATTCTTTTGACTTCGCCAAAACTTAGGTTGACTTGCGAAGCTGAACTTTTGTTGGTTTGGTCTTTGTGCCCGTCAATTCTGGTCAGGTTGCTTCATTTAGAGCAATGGTCAACATTTTGATACGGTAAGACCCGATGCCTCTGGCGACATTCCTTCTGTGTGTGTTGCCACCTTCTACCAGTTTGTCTGCCATGCATTGAAAGCATTTTAGTTTGTGATCAGTACGTACCCTATATTTGATACTTCTGTAGGTCTAGGAAAGAGAGAATGGTGACGGGCATTCTTCCGTGATCATCTACACACTCTATGAGGCCTCCTCATTTGTAGACTTTGTCATGACAAGGGGCAAGAAAGGCGTCCGTAATTAATGGAAATGTGGTCTACAGGGTACAGCAGGAATCATCTGAAGGGGCAGACCGAAATCCCTATCTTGTTCAGTACGTGGATTATTCTTTTGATGATTTGGGTGGTCTTCAAGATCCGGTTTATCCTGGTCTGTGCAATGTCTGGAGAAGCTTGGCCAGAAGCAAGGTATTTCACACTGTCCACTGCAGTGTCACAGTTTCGTGACTTGGCACTTAGAGAAACACTCCTAGCGTCGAAACAGAAGCTAGGATTTAGACATAATCTGGCTGTGAATGGGGCGTCTGTGAGACCATTGGAGGGGCCCACTTTAGGCGCCATGCCATGCCTTTTTTTTTGGGGTCGGTGAAACGAATTTCACTAGAGCGACTCTTTATAGGTTACAGTAGAGTCTCTATTTTCAGCAATGCAGGCTCCTGTTAATTTTTTCCGTAATCTTGTGTAATTGTGATGACAGGCAAAAGGGTATAGGGTGGGACCAGTTTACGACGATGTGCTGTCGATGGCATGGGTGTTCCTGGAGCTAATTGTGAAGTCCATGGCTCTCGAACAGTCACGAGTTTTCTCTGATACTCTTCATTTAGGTATGCTCATTGTTTTTTTCGTATATAATATGGGCTGATGTCATATATTGAACGTGGTCCACTAGGAAACGAGTTTCAATTCGACTGGATAAGTAACCCTGTCGTTTATACTGCAGTGGAAATTACACATCTACAATTGACATTTAGAGTCTGTTCGGCGTGTAAACTTGCAGGTGAAGATTTGCCTCCGATGCAGCTGAAGGAGGGGGTCTTCAGATGTATTTGGCAATTATATGACTGTCTCTTGACTGAAGTACATGAGCGTTGCAAGAAGGGTCTCACATTGGCCAAACGTCTCAACAGTAGTCTTGCTTTTTTCTGCTACGATCTCCTTTCAGTCATTGAACCCCGCCAAGTATTTGAGCTGGTTAGTTGCGATGCCTAAGTTACCTCGCCCGTCGGAGGTGATGTTGCAGTATGTTTGTGATTTTTTCTTGCCCAAATGGACATGATTTGCGATTGGTGGATCTCTATTTCCTGTTCGAAACAGAGAATGTGAACATCGAAATACCCAACTTCCTACCAGAGATTATTTTTCATAATATAGTACATGCTAGAACTGGTTCGAGTTTTTTTCCAGCTCGAGGAGCTACCAGGTGTCCTCAGTCATGATTGTTTTATTCCAAGGTATTACTTGTCGCAGGTTGCACTCTATTTTGACAAATTTACTGGAGTTTGTCAACAAGTACTGCATGAGTGTAAGCTCACGTTTCTAAGGATCATATGCGACCATGATTTGTTCGTGGAGATGCCTGGGCGGGATCCCTCAGAACGGTACAATCAGCTACTACAATGCCTTTGCCACTACTTTCTTCTCTTGGATTAAGTTTGATCATTTGTGTTTCTTACATATGAGCACTGCATCTTAAGCTTCCTCCGTCTATGGCTTGGCCATGTAAAATTTTGAAGCGTGGAATTTGAGGTCCCCATCAGCTGCCTTTATTTGCTGTCTTTTCTTTGTAGAAAGTCTAGAAAGTCTCTGACCCGCGACATTCACGAGGATTTTTTTGCATTTATTTATTTCTTAATCTTGTATAGCAGGTTTCTCATAGTAGTTAATCTGTTCTAGGGTGGTCAATGTTTGAATAATTGTCCTGGAGCATTAACAGGCTTGATATCAAATTGGCAGGAACTATTTGGCATCAGTCCTGATGCAGGAGCTGTTCCTTACTTGGGACCATGAAGACTTAACACAAAGAGCGAAGGTAAAGCGTCTATTATGAAAACAATGTTATGTCTGTTGTATCTATAGCAACTTGGACTCGTCTCTTTCCGAGGATTCCTGCAATTTTCAACAACTGGTGGAGAGATGAATCCTTAGCCCAATGGGTAAGGAGATCAGGGAGTGGAGTACTTCTAATCACGTGACGATATCAGGTCTTTTACAACGTTTACAACGGACTTGCAATCTTGTTTGTGCGAGAAGAAAGCGTCTTACCAAACTTTGTGAATTCTTTGAATTGAAGGCTGCGAGGATATTAGTTGTACTCATGTGCAAGCATGATTACGACGCTCGATATCAGAAACTGGAAGACAAGCTCTACATTGCTCAGCTCTACTTTCCTCTCATAGGCCTTGTAAGTTGCAATCTCTTTCAGAGTGAAGGTTATTGGTGATGGACTGCAATGACAGCGAGCTTCTGACTGCTTTCTGTAATTCCAAGATTCTACCTCCGTCCTTATTGCAACGTTTGTCCAACTCTCAATCACTTGAACAGGTTTCTCACCGCCTGTAACACCGGATACAATTTGCAGATATTGGATGAGATGCCTGTGTTCTACAACCTAAGTTCAACGGAGAAGCGGGAGGTTTTAGTCTGTGTGATGCAAATCATTCGACATCTCGATGATGCGACCCTTGTGAAGGCCTGGCAGCATAGTGTTGCTCGAACACGACTTTTTTTCAAGCTCCTTGAAGAGTGCCTCGGTTTGTTCGAGGTAACTGCGACCTAGTGGCTTTATGAACTGCATGATTTTGTAAATTCTCCTACTAGATCGCAAGAGGGTGTTCTATATATAATATTTTTATTTGTTTGATGAGCTGTAGCTATGAGTAGAACTCTGTAACACTTTGTTGAGTCAGCTGGACGTCAGCGCTATTAGTAATTATGGACGTCATTGTGAATTGCAGCACAAAAGAGCCTCAGTTGATAACATGGGAATACCTGGGGGCATTCCTCCACCTGAAGAAGTTGAAGGACCCTATTCCCCACGATATTCCGAAAAATTGTCCCCGTCTATCCACGGGTACTTCACCGAAGCATCCCGGCCGGACGTTGGCAGAGTACGTATGTCATTTATGCTCTGTCTTCCTCTATTGGTACATCAACCTCTGGAGTAGGAACGATCAACTTAATCCTTACTGCATTTCAAAGCTTATAATAATCGTTCTCGGTTTGTTATGCAGCCGCAGGTCACACCAGATAGTGGATACTTGTGGAAGAAATTAAGCCCACAACTAATAAGCTCTCCAGGTCAACCGTATTCGTTGAGGGAGGCTTTGTCATCTCAAGCTCCATCTTCTCGAAGAGTAGGTTCAGACCGGGCATTGCGTGAAAGTCTGCATCCAATGCTCCGCCAAAAGCTGGTACGGATATCCCAGTCACTGCATCTGCTGTTATTTTCTACCGACGTGAATATTGTCTCAAAGATGTCAGTTTTTGGAGCTGTAAATCACATGAATTTTTGCGCTGGTTTCTCTCTTATAGAATGAGGTCACCCTCTTGCTCCCTTCTGATCATACTAATTAAATTCCTAATCAGTTTGACGTTTATGTTATCAAGATGCTTAGCAAACCCAGGGCTGCCGGTCTGAGAGAGCGTCTTTGACATGTGGATGCAGGAACTTTGGGAGGATAACTTAAGTGCAGCTGTAAGCCTGCAGGTGCTTGAAATCGTTGAGAAGTTTGTTGACGCAGCTGCAACCCATAGCATTGCCACTGATTATATAAAACTCGATTGTATTACTGCCCTCTTCACTGGGTTTTTGTCTCGCAGCCAACCGCTTCTATTCTGGAAGTCATTCCTTCCAGTTTTCAATAATCTATTTAGTCTCCATGGAGCAATTCTTATGGGTCGGGAAAATGACCGTTTTCTGAAGCAAGTAGCGTTTCATTTATTGCGCTTGGCCGTGTTCCGGAACGAGTCAATACGCAAACGAGCTGTTGTTGGCCTCCAGATTCTCGTTCGGGTGAGTAGAACAACACTCCGTTCTTTTCAAACTGGTTGATATGTGAGAGATATTTCACAAAGACTGAATTGGCCTGACGGTTAGGAAACTTAACGTCCTTTCATGCTGCAGAACTCTTTCTATCACTTTCAAACTACTGCGCGACTCCGTGTGATGTTGACCATCACTCTCTCAGAGCTTATGTCTGATGTACAAGTAACTCATCCATGTCCCGACGGAACTTCGGAGGAAAGTGGAGAAGCAAGGCGATTGCGGAAATCTTTACAAGACATTGCTTCCGAAACTAGTAGCGTGGAGCTGCTCAAAGAATGCACTCTGCCAGAGAACTGTTTGGTTGCAGTACCTGATGGTGCAAGCGAAAATCGGTGGCGGTGGAAAGAACTGCAAGATCTGTCAACTACATTGTTGCGTGCTCTCGATGCTGCCGTTGAGCACGCTCTCCTGGTACTATCCCTTTTAAGATTCACTCAAGCTCGGCTTTTTCCACCAAAGCTTAAATTTCAATTTTCGAACTAATTGGTCTTTTTTTCCTACAAAGTCTAAACCTGTGTTGAAATGAATGGGAGAGTTCACTCACAAAAATAATCTGATGGGGCTGTGGTCCGGATGTTGGATAGCCTATGAAGAACAGTGATTAGTCTGTCCAGGTTTCATTTTATTTGGTGCTCTCGGAAATCTTATTGGGAGAACTGTCTGTCCGAAATGGCAGGGTCCAATGACGGGCTTCGACAAGTATGCAACTGCAGAAAGCTACCACAGTTTGGCCTGGGCTTATTCTCATGTGCCAGATATCCACATCATGTGGCTCTTACATCTTTGTGATCAACATCAGCAAATGCATTCATGGGCAGAGGCTGCTCAATGTGCTGTGGCTGTGGCTGGTGTTATTATGGAGGTATCTGCCCACTTGACTTTTGACCTATATATTGTAGGAGATTCCAAAATTACGAAGGCTACATGGCGCATAAAGAAGTTGGAATTTTAAGTGTTGTTGCTTTCCTGTTCGTTTGTGCAGGCTTTAGTTGGAAGAGCTGATGCGGTGTGGGGAAAAGACCATGTGGAGTCGCTCCACAAAATATGTCCTATGCTAAGTAGCTCAGTAATAGGAGAGGCAGCCGCTGCCGAAGTAGAGGGATATGGAGCTTCAAAGCTGACTGTAGACTCAGCGGTAAAGTATCTTCAACTGGCAAATAGACTCTTTCAGCAGGCGGAGCTGTTCCATTTTTGTGCTGGAATTTTGGAGCTCATAATTCCAGTGTACAAAAGTCGACACGCTTATGGGCAGCTTGCAAAGTGCCACACTTCCCTTACCACTATCTATGATTCCATTGTCGAACAGGAGACGAGCCCTATTCCATTTACAGATGCCACTTATTATCGTGTGGGATTCTATGGGGAACGTTTTGGTAAACTAAATCGGAAGGAGTATGTGTACAGAGAGGCTAGAGATGTCCGCCTTGGAGATATAATGGAGAAACTAGGACATGTATACGAGTCTAGGCTAGGTGATGGGCACACCTTGCATATAATACCCGACTCGCGGCAGGTGAACGCAGATGAGCTTCAGCCAAGAGTTTGTTACCTGCAGATCACATCTGTCGACCGTGTGATGGAAGATGAGGATCTAGAGAGCAGGAGAGAAAGACAACAAACTGGTCACGCATCAGGAAGCGTCAGTGCGCGAGTTTTTGATCGATTTTTGTTTGACACCCCTTTCACTAAGAACGGTAGGAGTCAAGGAGGTTTAGAAGACCAGTGGAAGCGGAGAACTGTGGTCCAAACTGAAGGCCCTTTTCCTGCACTAGTAAATCGTCTCCTTGTGGTGAAGTCCGAGTCCAGAGAGTTTTCTCCCATTGAAAATGCTATAGGAATGATCGAAACCAGGACATCAGCGCTACAGAATGAACTCGAAGAGCCACGCAGTGCAGAAGGAGATCAACTGCCTCGGTTACAGAGTCTGCAAAGAATTCTGCAAGGCAGTGTTGCTGTTCAGGTTTCTTTTTTCTCATTACCTGTTTTTATATATAAAGAGTCAAAGTTTGTGCTTTCGCTTTTTACACATACTGTCATATTACACTGCCATGGCGTAACGAGACACTTGAGCGGCTACCTGCTACTCACTCATGCGATTGTATTGGCAAAACAGGTCAATAGTGGGGTTCTTGGAGTCTGTACAGCCTTCTTGTCTGGTGAGCCAGCAACACGACTCCGTTCCCAAGAGCTGCAGCAACTTATTGCAGCATTGCTGGAGTTTATGGGTGTATGCAAACGTGCAATTCGTGTACATTCCCGCCTGATAGGAGAAGAAGACCAAGAGTTCCATTCTCAGCTAGTAAATGGTTTTCAGTCTCTTACAGCGGAGCTCTCTCACTACATACCGGCCATCTTGTCTGAACTTTGAGGTTTGCAGTCACTACTCTCCATTTTCAAGTTAAACGTCCACATAGCACTCAAGCTGTTTGTAGACTGGGCTCTGTCCCACTAGTTCTCAGTAAACATCAGTCATCGATCTTGCAGGAAATGTGCAGCAATGTAGAAATTTTCTTCTGTACCTATTGGGCAGCTTCATTTTGTATTTATAGGTTGGACAAAGCAATGTCCAAATTATCTCAAAGTGGCCCATTTGATTCAATACAATAGGGGACATAAAAAGGTTGCAATCCTTGTTGACTTGATGGATGTTTTGTTCTATTAGTTTTTTTCACAAGTGGATTGACGTCTGTCTATTCACTTGTCTCTTGTATATAAGCACAAGGGATGCCGTGTCACGTCAAGCTTAGATAATTAGCAACGAAGTATGAAGTATAAACTTGTGTAAAAAAATTTCTGCTGAACGAGATCAACGTGAGATGAACTAAATTGCAAGTACAGATTTTAAGCTGCTTGTTCTGCACCAAATTGAGCTGATAGTGGGCGATCCAACTTTGCGTTGATGTACTGCAAAAGGTATTGGCTTGACTACATAATTTGCCTCCCACATTGCTGATTTTTTTTTTGGTTCTCTCCATCGTGAATATAGGCAAGAGGTGGCCACCAGCTGATTGTTGAACTTTAGTTGGCTGGCTATCCATTCAGGTATTGACGTCGTATTATAGTGAACGATTTCCACAACAGGATCGGATGTATTTAGGCAGCCAGACTTGCAAATTGCGTATGCAGTTCCGAGCCGTCGTTTTGATGTGGATAATATACTCAATAACTTCCCCCCTAAACTCGACCAAGAAAGAATCGCATCGCTAAAAGATTACGATCATATTTGTCATGTATCCATCCTCGTAGATAACCATCTTTACAATCTTTAATCTTAAAAAGCTGCAGCGATGTGTACGCTGTTGTATACATTTATTAAGAGACGAGCAAGTGGAGTTGATGCATATTGTGGTGAGGCGAATTGGATTTGGCTGATTTGAGTTGTAGAAAGGAATTGAGATTTGGAGAATCCTTCTTGTATCTTGTACTAACGGAGGTGCTAATTACTACAACATTGTCAGACAGTGATGTAATCTCTGACCACGGCACGCAAGTAGCAACGTCATTAACAGAACTGAAACTGGAGAAGGGGCGATGTACGTCAATTCCATGTTATAAGTTAACGTGGAAAACACAGATGCATTTGCTAAAGTGCGACTAAGATGGACTGGATCTGCTTGATTGTGCTTGGCTTTAGTGAAATCTGGTAATGAAACATACATCTCTAGCTTAGGGTGTCCGCTCAGGTCTGTCGTTAGACAACTGTCCATGTGCTGCTTTCATTGATTCAAACCGAAGGGTACAACAATGAAGAAGTAGAACACCATCACAATATGTTTTTCGATGTAATATAACATCTATGATTAAAATTCTATATTTTTTTACTATTTGGAAAATACACGATTTTTGTGTGTGTTTATCATTACACAAAAATGAAATATAATACGATAGAGTGAAAAAATACACGTATGTACAATTTAAATGATGAAAGATAATTTAGTTATACCTTATTTTGTATGTAATAAAAATTCTCTAAGGTCGTATAAAATCTAGAATAAACTTTATAGATCAAATTTATCAAGATTATAAAAAGGTACATGAATAAATAAACATATTGGATATTCACCATCATTAGGATAATGTGAAAGAAGTAGAACTAGCATGAACTCCTGGATTACGTCTCATTCGAATATGTGACTATGAGTACACAAGCAGAAGGAGACGCACAGTGTTGTCGAAGTGCTCGAGCAAAGAGAGAAGCTTTTCAGAAGGGACATTAGCTGGCTCTCATGCAAAGCCTTTCCCGTCTCCAGCAAGATTCATTGGCGAAAATATATATTTGTCTTCTGATTATTGGTACGAGGGAGTGGGATTCAAAAACATTCAGAGTTTGCAATCCAGAATTGCACCGACTTTACATTCCATTTCTGTAAGATATTCACAAAATTATTCATGCACACTGATCATTATTTTAGTGTATCTAGTGATGTATATTGCAATACACTGTACTGTAGTCTCATCAAGAGCGAAGATTTTTTCGATTGATGAATTTTCATTTGAATTCCGTATCATCATATGTATATCATTCGATTAAAAATTATTTGTAATTATATGATAAGCTGTCATTTTTATCCCAAATTGATATGTATTTTGGTCTATTTTTAATTTATCAAATACTTATTTCAGTTTTATCTAGTGATTTCAAGACACTGTTTTTTTTCCCACCTAAACAACATAATCGAATTATAACTATTAGTTTGAATATAATACAGAACTATTCATGTGTAAATTATGCAAAATCTATTGTGATGATGTCTTTCTTCTTCACTGTTCAGGTTTCAGCCGAAGGGTGGGCTTTGCTTATTCGATTGTGCTCTACGCAATTTATTTACAATGATTTGGAATGGTGTTTGAAAACGCAAGTAACGAGGATAGGTGAGTTTCCAATGGTATAGCTCTTTGGGGTAACTATAGCACTATGTTATAACAAGATAAGTTTAAGTGTGCATCAATACATCTAACATGATCATACAACATAACACGCAATCTATTCAATGATTTGTGCATCTCTTACACAAATGGAATGAAGATATATACTTCACGGCGATTTTTGCTAATTCTGGACTTTTGCAAAATTGCTATTATGTACATGTCTCTCGATATGATATATATGCCAGTACAAAGTGGAATCTCTAGTGTTGAGTAAGATTAATAACTACAACATCAATGTGTTTATAACAGTTTGAGCTGTTCTGACCTGTGACATAAATAAGATCATATGTAGCAATCCTATGACTTCCTATAGAAATACTTGCCAAAAAAGTGTTAGTGCATCTCTATTTTGACCACAAATGCATATGAGCATGCTGGAGGACAAAGTCCTGATTGAAACCAATCTTAATTGCATCACTGTAGCCAACTGAGATTCAATGTTCAACCGTGAACCATGAAACTCCATCCTTGCAAGAAAAAAAGTGGGCTTTATATGAGGAGGGGAATATTTATGTATGAAGGATGATTAACTCATTGAAGCAATTGGAATCGGCTTCAACCAAGTCTATTAAACATCATTGTATGATGTTGCAGTTGATCAATGTATTCAACTGGAAAGATATGTGATGAGACAGTATCAAAGGCTAAGAGGATTGAAGAGATAGAAACTTAAGTCAAAGAGTCGATATGATGTTGGACGTTTCAAGTTTCAAAACACTTTGATCCTTGTCGTCAAGGATAATGTAATCCCATGCTTACAAGAATAAAGTCAACTTTATTCATGGCAGCACAGTTTTTGATGAGTTTGTAGTACGTCAAACACATTAACAACTATAACAATCATCAAGTGAAAATGCGGTCACACAATTGATATACGAAGGTGACCTTGAGGGAAGGACTTGACCAAAAGCATTATTTCCAGGAGATACTGAACACCTTACATGAATACGCTAGTACTATACATCATAATTATATGATGCATCCAAGTTGGGAATGAGTAAACTACATTAATTAAACCGTTTACTTCGTGTACGAAATTCCAGATCATTTATGCACACTACATCATGGGAACCCCTTTGACTGCTTACAGTTTACAGACTGCTGTAAGGTCCCTTCTTATCAAGTTTCGTTCTTCATATAAAACAGGCACTGTGACATATAATACCAACATCCCCGACAAGAGGAGTACATGGAAATTTACAGTTGGAGCCACATCGGTTCCAACCGTTGTAGCAGATGTCAATAATGGGGCGAAACTTTAAAATCCACCGTCTTCGATCTTGCACAATGTTTGCTAAAGCTTTCTCATTATTCTTCAAAAGTTGAAACAATTCGGAGATAGTTATCTTCAATAACTTCAGCATTCTGCCACCTGAGGCAGATCATGCCCGCCATCAAGCGTCCTTAGTCGACAAGCACGTGGATGTACCCGTGGCAGTCACCGAGGTCTGTCACAGGTGTCGTTCGCCAGAACCTGAGGACCTTGAAGAAGAGATTAAATCTAAGAAGTCGACCCTTTTGGAGGTAAATAAACCATTTTCTCAGTTATTGCGTTTCCAGACCCCATTCCAAATCATTGGAGATAGATCGTGTAGTGCCTACTCGAACGTGCGAAGCCTGCCGTATGGCTAAAATGTGAACGACGAAGATATCAAGTACCGAAAACGCTGTATTACAAATTTGGAAACATTGAGCTGTACTGCGATGTCTACTTCATTCTCTAGGCACTTCACTTAGAATTCAGTACATTGTGCGGACAACATTGCAAACAGTTTGTGAAGGCGAGAGTTAATTACTGGAATTACAAGTATGCACGTAAGCTGACAGGGAATGATAAGATGCTGATGGGACTGCTTCTCGATGCAGACGCAATGTCATTTTGTAAAATTTTAACTGGTATGAACACCTTCACTGAGAGATTGTAAATATTGTACAGCCGTGGATAATGTGATGGAAAGGCCAAGACACATAACGGTTCGTGAAAGTTGACCCGTTACATCTTACTGAGTAAGAAAATCGTCAAGTATTGTCCTTGTTTTCATGTGAATCTTAACCTAAGTACATTTAATGCGCACCTCAGATTTTTTTGAATGATAACGTTCCCGCATGACACAAGAAACTGCCGACCTTTTGTCCGGTAATATTAACAACTCTATTCCTCTTCTGACTGGAAACAATGAGAGCGTGCAGACCAGTAACGAGCAGGAATGAGATCAGGCTTACTCTGCTTTCTCTTTAGACAGGGCAATCACGTTAAAATTATGTGACTGAGGGTTCCTCGCTGTGAACTCTTGAATGACCTTGACAGCATCCTGCAGTAAGTAAGCCCACAAGCCAATCAGAATATTCAAAGAGGATAGTAATCATTCTTAACAGAAACACAATATTTTGATAGTACCTTCAAAATTGTGTCCTTGAATGAGACACCGTGATAAACCGGTTGAGACTTTCGCCCATCCAATTCGTAAAGACCACCTTCAAAAGTTAAATGATCTATGAGGTTAGCGATATGACAAAAGATCGAAGATATGGTGGAATCTCCTATGGTAGGAAGAGAGAAAGATGCACTCACAAAATCATAAAGACAATTAAAAATACTGAACCTGGGCTTCGCTTACCGTGAACACAGACGAAGCAGACGAAATGAAGATCCACGGAGACGTTTATATCCGGGGGCTGTAAAACACATGAAATTGCACATAATCAAGCATTCAGCTAACCACTTTCAAACCACCAGACAATACTTTACTTACAAGATACCGTGCTTTGCAACGTAAGTCCTGACAAAAATCATAAAAGACTCAGAAAACTTCACTTACTGCAGTATCACCAGCAGTGGCAGCAGCTGAATGAGCGCCCTCGAGCTCTGTGTCCGTTTCGAGAAACTCTGCGCGCTAAAAATAAGAGAAAATGGTGCAGTTAAAAGGTAAGAACAAAGCTAAAACTATTTCTTGGACCGTGAGTATCAAGCTGGAACATGTAATCTACTGAACAAGAACAAGTACAATACTTGTCTATTATACATAACCGTGAACAAGTACCCAGCATACATAAAAGGCATGTGTCATAAATATATCATACATATAGAGTGGTAATCCATGCTATTTTATACGTATGATTTTCCTTGCAGATGCGACACAGATGATAAAAGCAACTCAGCGAGCAAAAATTTGCAAAGAGAATAGAAAGATCGAAGGCTTTCTGCATAGAGAGTAAGAACTGAAAGCATATCAGTATCTATTGCAAATTGGAAGTTGGGGCAAGGCCTTTATGGCATATTCTCTATACAGGAACTACATAATTCGTGTGAGAATACATAATTAGACAAAGCTTTCCGTCACTTGTGATTCAAAAGGTGACCCTTTATTTGACTTGAAGACCTAAAATTCATATTCATTAAGTGGTTATAACATCTTATTCCTACATTACAATAAGTTATTCACTGCAACCTTTAGCATATATTAAATCACTCTACAAATTTTGTCACACAAAGCGGCTGGAAATACACAAAATGGAAAACACATAACGTTATGCAGTGTCCTCGACGAAATTGCATTCGAAATATATAACATCAAAGGTGAGACTTAGTTGTAAAACGTTTTATTGTGTGTCATTAAGCAAATTACCTCATCTGGGGTCATATTCGAAGTTGACTTGAAAAACTTCTTGAGGAAGGAATCTTCAACTGGAAAACAGAACAACAAGAAAAGTTTAGAAAACAAAGAGCGTATCCCAAGGCAGCTTTTAAAGCTATCAAATTTGATACATGTTAAAAAAAGGAGACTCGTGTAGGTCCGCTATATCATTCGAAAATAAACTTCTATGATCAGAACATTTGTTCTTTTTCTTAATGGCAGGACCCTGGAACCAGAAGAAAAATTCCCTACCAAGTTCAATTTGAGACAAGTTGTTGCCTATGGCGTGCAGCAGTCCAATCGTCCCACAAGCATTTCCAACAGTTTGTTTCATGAAGTAAACCTTGTCACTCACCTGCCATCGCGCAATGATGAAAACGTTGTGAGTGACCCAGCAATCAACTAGCAGTATTGAAAGCTCCTTGTGGGTCTGAGGATCACAGAGTGAAACCATAAGATAGACACGACGAACTACTTCATAAGGGCAACCAGTGTATACAGCATCAACATCTATGAGCCCAAGATTTATACATGAACTGACTAGTCCGTCAATTCAAATCTTACGAGTCGTTCATTTATTCAGATATCCTGAGCAGTTTGTATAGAAACGTACCTTGGATGCTTCCTTTGTGTTTGATTCTTGTTCGGCTTTTCTTGCTGCTTCAGACTGCCAACCAGAAACAACAATGAACAAGATATAGCATTTGTATGCTTGCTCTAATTGGAGCAATCTAAGAATTGCATGTCTTTCTTGTTAAGTTACAATACCTTGAGACACTCAACGGGATATCGTCTCATTTGTAATACTTTCATATTTGCTGCATGAATGGTTCCGTTCTGAGAAGGGGTGATTATCGTAGCAAACCCCTAAAACCATGACGCAGCTCGTCGGTTGAACCATAGATAAATAATGAAGAACATGCACTAAAATTGTTTCAGAAGCAACATGTAGCAACAACTTCAAATATGACTTGCTATCAAGTCATTTTTGTATAAAATTTAATGATTATCAAGTCACAAGTGCATAAAACTTTAAAACCATACTTTTTGATATACATATCCATGCCTCGAGTAAGGCGATAGTTGCAACTTCAGGAACTTAAACTGGCTTGAAACCAACCTCTTCGGTGATAGGGAAAAGAAGCAGAACAGCGAGCACTGGTGAGGGAACCATCGCAAGAAGCTCATCATCGAAGCCATAAACATCATGGAAAGCTGCGTCTTCAGGAAAGCCGAGGCCCTGTACAAACTGCGGGTGTTCATTTCAAAGATCACAACTTATAAGTTCCATGGTAATCTGGCTATCTTGCATACATTGGTTTGTGATACTAGGGCGACAAAAGGTAGACATTTTGCTTCCCAGATAGACACGTCATGATTTGAATATACGACTCATTATTGAACTTTCTACTGAGAGACTATCCAGCACTGGCGTATGTCCTGCAGTGTGTCCCTAACCCGAATTCCATGATCGCAGACGATGGAGCTTGCAAGAAGGATTCGAAAGGAGATACATCATGGATGCGTGGGTTATATATAGAAACGGATCATGGTCGGAATGTACACAATACGACGAGATCAGGTGGCGGAAAATCGCATGCAACCATGTGCTTCGACAACAGGCTGAAGATTTTGTCAAATTAACTCTAAAAGAGGCGCTAGACTGGAGTAAAACACGAATTCAAACCTGATTCATCACGTCCGGATTCGCTTCGAGTGGAAGCCATCTCTTCTTGGCGTTGTCGCACATTGTGACGTTCCAAATACCACGAAACCCAAAGCGAAAAAGGAAAATCTCGCAAGCGATAAATTTTCTCGGCAGGCTCACAATTCACTGGTAAAACCCTGACAAAGTCGCGGCAAACAACGAGGAGTCAGGCAGCCACTCTCGTGCATATCGTCGTCAGGCGACGGTGAGGCAAAAGCAGAAAGCACAATGCAGAAAGCAGAGAGCAGAAATACAGCAGCGACGCCGGAGCAAGAACTGGGATCGTACCAATCCAATTGAGCAAATCGGAATCGCAATCGATGGGCTGGCCAGAGTACGAGGCAGAGGCGCTGGTGCGGATTTCTTGTACAGTCCGAAGACAGCTCTCCACGACGCTCTCGCTCAAGAAGCTGTGCCTCGTCCTCTTGTCGGAACTCCGAACGGAAACGCTCGAACGGCGCCCAGTGCCGCCTGAAAGTTCTACGTGGTTCCTTCTTCTCGCACGCGGCGCAGTTCAGCTCACTCTCCGTCTGATGCGAATATTCCCCTCGGCTCGCTGGGCCTTGCGTGCAGATAAGCTTTTCTCGGCTGCCCGCGCGGGCACCGGAGTTGGAGTTCGATCCGCTCCTCGACGACCTCACGAGACGCCACAAATGCAAGTCTTTCTTTTCTTGCGGGCCTTGGTGCAAATTGTGATTGATATAAATCTTCAGCTCATCATATGCATCGAACCTTTCAAGCCCTGCCCGAGACTTTCGATGTTGCGGACCATGATATGGATCGAACTCAAGACAACGAAACAACAGATTTCGTATCATATGCGGAGAACTATGAATTTGAAAATAAAATAAATGATTATTCTGAGCCAAAAGAGGGAGAAAAAAGATATCAGCTCACACATGGATCATGCAACTTTTTCAATGGCTAGACGCGTAGTTGAATTCAAGATAACAATAATGTGATAATAACAATTTAGTAAATTAAATCAAAATATGTACAATTTCAAAATATCAAAGGTGATGTTTATAGCTGCATATAACTCTAATCAAAGATTAGATTTACTAAATTTGCAGATAATTTGCTAAGAAAATATTCAATAGTTTGTTTCACACACCGTCCATTCAGATAAATTCATAACCCATTTTCTTAATATTGTATCATGTTTGGGAATATATAATCATCTAGACTTCAATATTAGATGATGAATATAATCAAATAGAAGTTTGTGTTAAGTATGGTTGAGTAAAAGACATGCTAACCTTTCTCACATATGGATTAATTACCCTCGTCAATGTAAACATTACATGCCCAATAGGTTTAAAATATAATGTTTTTCATAAAGAAATGTTTTATCTAGATTAAAATCACCGATAAGGATATAGATATATGAACAATGCCGAAATGCAAACTCTTAGATGTCAAAAAGGTTGTCGCATCCAGTAAAAAACCCCAATGTATGGTTGAGCCAAATTTCAAGTATGCTCTTCACACATGCGACTTCTCATGTGTAAGATTTTGCAGCATGCCAATATACCCATGGATATGTCGTGTCATACCTAGTTTGACAGAAGTAGCATCCACGTGTACAAAATCTCATAGCATGTATATCGCAAATCTGAAGAAACAATAGATGATGAAACAAAAAAACTACTCTTCTACATCGGTATCTAGACTACTCATCATTTGACTCAAGAACAATATCAGTTGAACATTCCAACTTGCATGACACTGTTGATCTTAATATAGATCAAGCTCGACCAGAGTCATTCCAATCAATACTGAAACGAATGATTTGACTACAAATGTAACCCCACCTGACCATACTTGAGTTCAAGTCCAAGAGTAATGAGTAAGAGGAAATGTCCAAACCATGAGCAAAATGAATATACAAAAACACGCGGTTAAACCCTCTTCGTGGTTTAGTTAACTTCGGACCGAATTGGAACGACCAGGTAGGTTGGCAACGGAGTCATTCTTCAGGCATTACTGCGGTTTGGTAGAGACTGTGTCGAGATCGTGGTGTTTCTTTCGGCCGAATTTTGATACAGAAATACGTACACGAGGACGACGACACTCAAGGACTGTACCGGAACATGCAGAATGCTCAAATGGGGAACAAGAAGTAGAAATCTTCCGATCGCTCGCTTAATCAATCAGTCGAGTTCAAAGGATGCAACTTACGGAAGGATTAGCTTGGGAACGACGGGAAATTTGATCTTGTTGCCAAACACGGTTCGTGTAATTCGCACATCATGGACGATATAAGCACCTCCGACGGCGAAGGATTGCCTCTACGAATGTTCTCTGACGAGGCCCATGATGCCACCTTTCATTTCCAGATTTTGAAGCTGACAGACCAGGTGCGTATATTTCTGCATTTTATTCTTCTTTCTTGAGCACAAACAAAAATCGAGAGGACAGGTCGGTTGCTTGAGTCGTTGATGTTGTAAAATTGGAGATCATTTTCAGGATGGTGATTTTCCGAGTTTTTGTTTTTCGGGATCGCATCAGCTCATGTACGGTGACAGAATTTCGCTGACCTGCTGGAGTGGAATTTTGGCTCCGAAACTCATGCTAGCGGAATTTTTAGGATTATTTCTGATACTTCTGGTGATTGCTTTCTTCTTGTATTATGGAGCAGCTCTATATCTGGGTTGGATGCAATGCAGCGCGACTAGGGCACCTCTTTGCTGCCTTCCCAACTCCTTTTGTAAGTGCATTTTATTCAGTGTGTCATGTCAGAGTTCTGTCTTTCGTCAAATTTTCGTTCAGCAAATGGTCATCGTGTCAATTGAACTTCAGAGATATTTGAGATCTCTAGGTCTTGTTCTTGGAGAAAGCATGCAGTTTGCACTCACAATGCACTGCATGCGTCACGTATTAAGAACTGAGGACATCAGAACAAACATAAAGCGCAAAAAATCTGAGGCTTCTTCAGCACATCAAATTTCCGGATACTAGAACTAGGAACTCATTTTTGTTTGATTTGCTTCGCGAGCAGGATAGAACACCAAGTTTAACTGCTCTCATTGGGGGAGGTCCTGATAACACGGGAGCTAGTATGGCTCGCAGACTTTGTAAGTATTTCCATTGACATCACCTTTTACACAGATGTGAATGCCGGTTACTGCTTGCTTGAGGCCATTATATCTCAATCTCACGTCCTTTTCCTCAAGCTCCACATGTATAATTTCTCTGCTATTACCTTTTGAGAAGTGAATTGCGTCTGTACTTGCAGCTATGAAAACCGGTTGGAGCATAATTCTTGCAATCAATCTACCTTCCAATAGTCCTACTCTGGAGGTGGTTTTTCCCCACCTTGCATCTTCATTTCCTTCCCAAACCTATTCTTATTGTAAACAATTGTCGTTGTTTTCTTTTCACACTGCTTTGAAGAGATTTTCTACCATGGAGGTGATTGGTTTTACTACAGTGACATTACTGTCACCCGTTTCGTTTCTTTGTCCTTCGGAGGTAGATGGATGCTTTCAAGTTTGCAAAGTCACCCATGGAGGTCTCATCTGTAGGGAGCATGAAGCATTTGAGTACGCATCGGCCACAGCTTGATACTCTTGCTCAAGTTACACATATCTGCTCTTTGTCCTCTATCGCCACCTTAACCTCCTCATGTCTTCATGTTTCCCTTCAGGCGTATGCTGAAAGAAGATTGCTACAAGAGCTTAAAAGCTTAGGTTACGCAAAGTCTTCAGCTGGTGCGCAACAGATTAATGGCTCTGTTTAAGGACAAATTTATTCAGGTGAGGTGAACTACACTTTTGTAGAAGACTTTTCAATGTTTTAGTGTACTCGTCTTCCCCTGTGGCGCCACATTTTCATGAGGATAAGCTGCTGCCATTGAAGTGAGTAAGACAGTTGTCATTCCTACTTGTAACTGTAGAATGATGCACTTCTTTCATGTAATCCGCTTTAGCCAACAAACATGATTTGCATCTTTACTTGAGACTGCAGTTATAGGTCTCAAACCTTCCTATATTCTAAGGTTTTCCAGGTTCTTTTTGCCCAGATTTCAACAGCCCCATGTCCAGAATACCCTGATGCTAGATCTCAGTCCATCTCAATTTTAGCACGCGGTGAGAACGAAGAGTTATGTCATGTTGTTACAGAACTAAAACTCTGAACACAAGGTTTCAAGTCAGGCCACTTGTGCAACTTCAAGTATGTCCATCTGCGGACACGGACTATTCCTCTCTTTGCTAGCTGAAGGTTACAAATTGCTCTGGTTAAGAAGGCCACTGGTGTAGACTAAGACTTTCACACCATCTTGGTGCATAGTAAGGTCTTTACATTCGCGCTTCTCGCGAATGTTGTCATTCAATATGGAAATTTTATATCATCATGACAAGAGTGCTGTTGCTTTTCATATTCTTTACCTCTGCCTCTTGGTAAAGGTTCCAACAGATGCTTGTTAATGAGAAGGGTCACAGAAGCCTTCATTATACGTACACCTCACATTCTAATTAGTCACTCGAGAACCCTCATTAAGATGGAGGAGGTGTGGGATGGTTTATGTGTATGAGCCGGATTGTTTATGTGTATGTTACATCAGCTGAACAAAAATTGCCTTAAATCGGCATCAAAGTGAATAGTTTCTCCAATTTTTTTGGTCTGTAGTGCAGAAAGTAATATGAGATCAGGACATTGAAACGATGGCAATATTAACAAAAGAAAAGGTTGGGAGGAGTGGCAAGAAGAGAAATGACCGAATATTTACAATTTTGGACTCACTTTTCTCATATACCGAGTACTATATTTTATGACGCCAAGAGGAGAGAAAGAGGGCCCGAATCACACCAAGAATTGAGAACAGGAGACAAAGCGAGGACTGAAAACGTGAGGAAACTTGAAACAAACCAGCCATTTTGAGGAAAGAAGAATGACTTGGGGTGGCATTCAGCTGGATGAGCTCGAAGCAAACTGCATTCATGAAATGCGAACAAATGTTTGTTTGAGCGTGCCACTAACATTTGATGAAAGGACTTGCGGGTATAATACCCTTGGGGAGAAACTTAGGAAGGGTGCAAGTCTGCAGAAACTTAGCAGGAAGTATAGCTATATAGCAGGTTGTTAGTGTGCATAAAGGAACTCATGGGGTCGAGGGATGACTGAGAGTTGTTACTTTCATGTGTTGCATCCTCCATGAGCAGAACCGAGTTCTCCCTTTCACTTAGATAGGATGAGTAGGATCGAATGATATATGTCCTTTACGCCATTCGTGAAGAGTAGCTAATATCGTACAAGAAATATTCCCTGTGAATGTCAGGGGTCAGCAGAGTATGCAACATATTGAAAATTTGAAAATGATGCAGATTGAAAATTTCTTCCTTCCTTTCCCAAAATTTAGAAAATACCACGTCTTGAACTGCACCTGTTCCAGTAACTTGTTCTCCACACACACATAACACATGCAAGTCGGAACATTGGTGATAGTAACGTAATCAACATCTCAGAAGTCCTCTCTTTAGAGATAAACGGTTTCATTTTTCGCATACTGGAACGGTCAAAATTACAGGAGAATTCCAACAGATCGTTTGCACGTCGTACTTATATTAAGCACCAGATTATAGTCGATATAATTACAAACTATCTCTGATACAACTTTGAATCAAGAAGTCAGTCACGAAACACACCACTCGCGGCAGATTATGTATGCAATGTCTTGTTAAGGTACAAGTAGTCCATTCACTTTGATTCACTCGTGTTGAGCTCAATCAAAGCTCATGAACCACTTGTATCTTAACAGTCAAAATCGAACTCAACCTGAATCGAAGCGCATGCACCTCCATCTTAACAAACCTGCGAGACGATATCCAAATACTATATACATTCTAAAGCTGCATGAGACTCTTGGGTTCGACTTCGTTCTTTCATGGCACCTCGCTTTACCTTTTAGTCAGATAAATTATTTGCGCACATTGGATTTAAAGTCATTGAATGGACAGCAGACAAGCAAAATATGACTACGAAATGGCATTTCTCTCGAGCTCTGCCATGCACCTCAAATGAGATCGTCTAACAGGAAGTGAAAGCTCTAAGTCACCATCCACAGCAACCCGCCACAACTCAAGGTGTAATTACCCCAATAACGTGATGGCAGGAGCTACGGTATGGCTTTGGCGGAAGCTACAAAATTTGACGGAAAGAATGTAAATTCATGAGTTAAATCCTCGAAAGAACATGCCATTTGGACTCTTAGAGCATGCCGAAAGCAGCCAGCTTTCAACCAATTCCTTTCTTTCGCCCGGTTGTTTTCCTCCAGCTGTAGCAGAATTGGGAGAGGGTAGCATACAGCATGTGAAATTATGAAGAGCCAATCCAAATGAAAATGAAAATGAAATCCAGATTAATGGAAAAAAAGAAGGGAGGAGCAATGAGCCTAACGCATTTTCCAAATAGATGTGGAAAAGTTAGAAGTATCTCCAAAGAAACCTTCCCGATGAAGGTTTGACGTCCGACAAAAACAGCGACCAGCTTGCAATTGAGGCTAGAAAAGCTGTGTAATCTCAAATTGCTATTGGCTTTGTGCCCACATCTTAGTTTGTGAACAAAGCTCAACTCCCTTCAAAAGTGCCTGTAGCTTTGGGCACACACCACCGAGGAATTTGGCGCATTCATGAGTTGATGTACAAGTTATAATCCATTGTCCAATTAGCGTCGTTTGCTTAAAAGTTACAGTTAGGTTCGAGGATACCGCTAATAGGTTTAGGTCTCGAGGTGCAGAGTTTGAATTGGAGCTACTTTGGGTAAAATATCTGAAGCTTAGAGTGTGTGGCGATCGGAAACAGTATTTATAATGAACATGTCATCTTTGAAGCACGAAGAAGTTTTGTCTTGCCTCTAATATCATTTTTACTTTATCTCTATTATAAAATGAAAATCAGTGTGTGTTTTTTTATTATAGTCACTGTAATTAAAAAATTGGAATTTAATTTTGTTTTAAAAATGTTCATTGATATATGATAATTTTGATTTCATTTTTCTTCAAATTTTCTAACAATGATCTAAAATTTAAACATTGTTTCTTGCTGAAATTTTAATCAAGAATTCTGAAGTGTAACATTGATGCTAAAACTTGCGAGATGGTTAATTCCAATTAAAGAGTAACGTTGGATCTAAGGTATTTATAGCTACGACGGTAGTCTCGATCGGGTTTAAATACCCCGTCTTATACATTGAGTCTTTATGACAAGATTTGGAATAAAAATATAACCACTTCGAGGGATGAACCACATTATAAGCTTGTTTCTCTTATGTTGGTTGTTACTTTGAATGTTTTGTCATTTACAATTCTCAAATTCTACATTTACATGAAAGAAATTATAAGTAATGACGAAATTAAGTTTATCTAGTATAAAATAATGATGTGTAATAATTTGAACAATCTTATGAAAAGTGGCTAATTATCAAACTGGTGGAACCAGTAAGATTCATTTTATGGTATGAATTTTTTGATAAGATTCCAGAATAGAGAAAATATGTTGCAAAAGATATAAAACACACAATCAAAGTTTCAGACTTGTAATTTACAAAGTGATTAAAATGAACATATATATATTTACTCTAATTTTTATATTAATATTTGAACTATATTTATATTAAAAATAAAAATATGACACTTCATATTACATTCATCTTTCAATTGTAATTTTTTGTGTGGATATTTTTTTCAGTGATTTGAAATCTAATTTTTATAATAGAGTTTTGCAAAAACGTCAGTTATAATATTTCTTTTTGATTAAAAAATTAAATATCTAGCAAAATTTTATGAAAAAATAATTCTATTAGTTTAATATAATTTTAACAAGTTGAACTAAATTGTTTTTTGTTAACATAAACTAGAGATGATCATAACTCTTAGTTACACTCAGAGTTAGTATTTAGAGTATATTAAGAGTAGCTAAGTTAAGTTAGTGTAGAGTTACTCTTAGTTACACTAACTTGGTATTTTAAATAAAAAATTTTCATGTTTTCATGGGCGTAATTTCAGTTATATAGAATCACATATTTGTTATGAGTTCATTATTGATGTGCTTATATGTCAATAAATATGTACATATATAGTGCATGACTTTGATTATTTATAGTAAATCTAAAGAGATCCTACCTATTGGAATTCCTTTGCAATTGACCAGTGGAAAATAATTAAAAAAAATTTAAAAGACATTACAGACATAAATATTGCGTTAAAATGAATTTTCAAAGATATTTTTCAAATTATATTTGAATATAAAATTGTACTACTTTGTTTACAACAAATTCATTCATGTCAAAGTTGTGAAATTTCCGGATTTTGATTTTTTTCAGTAATAAAAGAATTCAATCTAATAATTTATTCAAGAATTCAATTTAGTCATGCTAATAAATTGGCAATGCATAAAAAAATTTAATGTGAAATTCATTATAAATTGAAATTAAAACATACATGTGAATCCATGATGAACGTTTTATATATTATATCAACTCTACATCGTAGCATCAAAATTTACGTGGTGATCAGGTTGTACTATAAGAAAGTCAATAAAAGTTATTGTTATTGCTCTAAAACGTTCAAATTCATAAAATTTATGTTGTTATGTATAGTTTTCACTGAATTTGTAATTGCAATAAAAATATACATATAAATTATAACTTGTCAATGAAGATATGATGGTTACTTTTTAGTTACTGCGTAGACTTTGTAATTTTTATAATTAGTAGTATAAGAATGGAGTTTTGAGTTGCTTTTGAAGAATACTTGAATTCAAAAGGCTGGTTCTTGATACCGGTGTTTATGTTTGACATTTTTGAATATGAATAATAAATCTTGGTCTTTCGAAATGTTAGCAATGTTTTGTGACAGTGTCATAACTGTGTAAGACATTGAAATTTGAAATTTTGCAAGAGATTTCATTATTTATATACTATTAAAAACAAAATTTATTTTTATATTGTCTTGATAAAAAACATTTCAAAACCATAAAAAATTAAATATGAATAATGGTCGAAATTAATTTTTTATGCAGCATGAACGAGGTGCAGTACCGAGATGAGAAATGGTAAAATACCACTTCTCAATACCACTGCTCTTCCGGTAGAGCAACACACAAAATAATAACTTTCAAATCCCAATGATTCCACATAGATGCTGGTCTCGTTACAAAGCGATGGCCTCATCTCACGTTTCCTAGTCTAGGACTACATGTTTTTGAGACAACATCATCGAATAATAAGACAAACAAATACAGGCCTCACAGGTTTAGGGCCTGGACCTCGAAGTGTGCAAAGCAGCTGAGAACGTTGCCTGTAAATATATCGATCAATCCGTAGCAGACTGCTTGTCCGTTGGTCTCTCTAGATCCTTCCCAGTCCCCTTTTATCGAAAGAGCCTCTACTATCCAGATCCTACTTTGTGTGAGTCTGGACTTACAGGCCTCCCCTGGGCCCTAGAGGCTGAAGGCAGGGCACAGGTCTCCTTGACAGACAACTAGCAACGAACCTGCGATTCTGAATCTTCCCATCCTGTTTCTGACTATCCTTTGTACTAAAGATCCGGTCTTGTTCTCGAGGGCATCGTACAATAAACCGAACTGCCCCTGCGCTTGGGCCATTGCAGAACCCCCACGTGAGAGACCCGTAATCTAGAAGCTTTAGCTAAGGTTTCACTCCGTTGTGGTTAGGAAGAGATTACGAGGATGATGTTGAAGGTTCATGTAAGCGATCAGCAGCTTCTTATGAGTTCCACGTGTGATGAAGTAGGCTCACCTAACTGAGAAAGCTTTATCTTATGGCATATTACTATCATAAACCTTTGTAGAGGTCCTGTTGGTAGAATTACTCGGCTATGGGGTCCTGAAGAAAGTTTCACATGTTTTCATCCTTCAAGGTGTCATTTTTTTCGCCAGCTCAGCTCAGCTTAACTTTCACTTTTTTACCAAGAATTTGCCGAGAAGAAACGAAAAAACCAGTAGTCTGGAAGCAGCGAGTCAACATGTGCCAGAGTCCGATATTCGTCCTTCGAGTGTGCGTAGACTTGGACCTACTGACATTCATGAACTTTGTCCAGCTTCAGCATGACGAGGTATAGGATCATCAGGTTTTGGCACATTGGATCTCACCATAAGCTCTCAGCCAGCAAGTTGTCTGTAACACGCACATTGTTATCGAACACCTCCGAACTTTGGCCCGAGCATCTAGGATGGGTGAAATCCAGATTCCTCTGCCAGTGGTGCATTGGTCTGTTCTCTTTGACTCGGGCGGCCTTGCTTGTGGACCCCGCAGAGGGTTCCAGCGGCTGCGGCAGGTTGCGGAGGGGATACTCTTTAAAATGTAGGGTCAGGCGGTCGTCCACATGGGCGGTATTGGACTCTCCAAAGTGATCCGATGTCTCGTTTCTTAGATCGTTGGAGCTCGGAGAATGTACTCAGACCCGGCCCGACCAAGCCCAGCCCCAGAAGCAGCCCCAACCCAATAATTTTCATCTCCCTACACACGGAAAGCTAAGGTCAGCGATAAGAGCACGCTACTGGTTCCATACAGGATTGTGGTCATATAAATGCCTGGGTGGAAAACATGCGGATCCCTGTCCTGTAGTGCTCGAATTCGGCCACGGGGCATCCACGAAAACCATTTGCTGCAACTGGTGACAAATGAAACGAAGCATCGGCTGTTCGCGCTCAATTGTCTCTCTCTAGGCCCAGGAACAAACTGAGAGAGAGAGAGAGAGAGGAAATTGACCCAATCAGGTGGAGCGTATTTTGCTGGATTTGAACAGGCAGCCTTGCCCACGATTGATATCTATCATTCAGGGATTCGCCGCCCTCGAGCAGCACTTGGACATGCTGGTATCGGATCTAATCGAGGTAAGAACTTTCGGATTAACAAAAGCTTGATTGCACCTGAATCCAGACCACATCGTCGGCGCATAAGAAGATGTGATCAAAATTTTGAAAGGTGTTAGCATGCTATGATGGCTTCGGCTCATATCGAAGCAGCATCGAGGGCAATCTACGAAGAGGCCACAAGGTGGACTAATCGACACGAGACTCCCAACTTGTCTGTCCATCACTCGTCCTTCAACACGAGCGCCGTCTCGGCTCGAACTGCCACACATAGAAACAGGCAGCACACCTTCCACTGATAGATGCTCTCAGACTGCTGGTTCCATGAGCGAGCTGCAAAAGATCTCCACTCTGAATCGTGCCAATCTTGTCGACACTAGAATCTCCTCCACATCGCCCAGGCCTCAAGGCCAGTCGGTGATCACTCCACGGAGCAGCAGAGTAGATGTCATCTTCGGCCGAGAACCCTCCACCAGGCCGCCGAGCGTGGCTAACAGTGGTTGTTGACCTCAGCGGCGCTCTCGAATCGGAATTTCGAGCCTGAAAGTGTGCAGTGCGGGTTCATATACAGGCTTTTAGAGGTTCGCAACAAGGTCCGGGATTGTGCGGAGGAGGGACTCTTGAGAGGGAGGGGCAGGAAAGGGGCGTTTGAGGATGCGGAGGTGGTGGAGATGATGGCGGAACTTGTGCTTGTCGTTTCGTCGCTTGCGGCTATCGTGTGTCAATTGTTAGCACTGTAGTGCTCTCCAGATCCTTGCCGGCCGGAGAAGGGACTTGGCCTCGGACCGAGGCTCGATCTCGGATTCTTGCACCATATCCGGGTTGAGGCTTTTCAGGTTTACCTCAAGGAATGTTTAAATTTTTTCCGCCCTGCTTCGAGCGTCGTCGTTCGTCGGCCCGAGCTTTTCATCTTGGTCCTCGCGGTCCAGCAGCACAAAGCGAAGCGTGCCTCGGCGGAGAAGACGAGTTTGCGTACACTGTTTTGACAAGTGAAGAAGCTCGGGGAACGTGAGAGGGCCATCATCATCATCATCATCGTCGTCGTGAGCCTGTCCAAGAGTTGGGCTCTTGGGGACGACAAATTCCTGCGACGAAGAATCCTCGGTCGGCAGCGATGGTGCGCTGTCAAAATTACAAAACGAACTGGTGACGATGTCTGCTCGCTGCTGCAGGTTCTCGCGCAGGTGCGAAAGAGGAGGTGGGGCAGCAGATCCGTCGAACAGGTCAAGGATCGGCAGGTAGAGGGGTCGATTGATGGGTATGCATAATTACAGATACGGATCGTAATGCCGGCGACCAGCATGGCGAAATTATCCACAACCAAGAGGCTGAAGTCGGCGCTGACGCCGTCGTTCGCCACCGTGCTGCCATTGTTTTGTTTAGGCCTGCTGCTTCTGCCCTTGCTCTTACAAAGAAACGACAGCGTCAATGACTTCATCAGAGCGAAATTCAACTCGTACACGGCCGACCAATTGCCGCTAGAAGAAGTGGCAAAATCTCCACAACCATCAAACACGAACCGCACCAGCTTTAACGACGACAACAACATCAGCAATAAGTCTACCAGTGAGCGCAATTCGTTCTCGGATTCAAACGACGACCAGGCCGAGGACGAGGACGAGGACGAAGAAAGTGCACGAGGCTTCAAATTGGCCGAGCCCGTGCGCAAGCTGGTCGAGGCGATTCGCGCCGCGACGCGCGAAGCCTGGGGCGGGGAGCCTGTGCCTATGACGGACGACGAGAGGCGGGAGTGGGAGCGCAAGAATCCGTGTCGCAGTCGCGCCGAGCTCAAGTTGCTGTACGCGCAGCGCAAGCACATGAAGGACGTGCCGGACAACGAGCAGTGGAAGGTCGTGGTCGCGGAGTACGCCGAGCTCCACCGCGCCTGCACGACGCGGATCGGCGACCTGCAGGCTTACTTCAAGGCGCAAAACTCCAGCGTCGCGGGATGCCGGTTCATCGTGGCCGAGACGCACTTCGGCCTGGGCAACAAGGTGTACCAGCTATCGTCGGTGTTCATGTACGCGGTGCTGAGCCAGCGCGTCATGCTGGTGCCGGAGTCGACGTCCGTGCCGGCGGTGGTGTGCCAGCCGTTCGCGGGCTCGTCGTGGACCATGAAGGAGCGCTTCGTGGAGGAGGTTCGCAAGCGGCGCAAGCCGTCGCTCACCTTCTACGACGACGTGGATCTGGCCGTGAACGGCACGCGCGACCTCGCGACGTTCGCGTCGGCCATGAGCAACAAATGGGGCCCCGAGCCGCGCTTCTGGTGCGACACCGAGCAGCGCTTCCTGACGCGCGTGCCGTGGCTCACCATCGATGGCTGCCTGCTCTTCCTGCACAAGCTCTACGCCGTGGACATGTTCCGCCCGGCGCTCGAGGCGCTCTTCCCCGACCGCATCGTCCTGACGCGCATCCTGCGCACCCTCATGCTGCCGGCCGATCCCGTCTGGGAGCGCATCCTGCACGTCAACGAGGTGTACCTGCAGAACGCCGCGAAGCAGGTCGGCATTCAGGTGCGCTTTCTGAGCGGCGAGAAGGAGTACGAGGCGAAGAACGAGCTGATCAACGAGAGGATCACTCGCTGCCTCTGGGAGAACAAAATCCTCCCTGAAGTGTGCCCCGCTCGGGGCGATCCGGGCTTCGGCGACCCCAAATTCGCCGCCTGCGCCGCCAAGCTCACGCGCGAGGATCACCAGCGGCCGCGGATCGTCAAGGTCCTCATCGCGTCTCTGTTCCTGGGATTGCACGACTCGCTGAACGAGATCTACCTGCGCCACGAGATCACCACCACCAAGGAGGTGGTGGGCATCATTCAGCTGACCCACGAGAAGATTCAAGGCACCGGCGTGGAGGTCGACAGCCAGGCCTTCGTGGAGATCATCAGCCTCAGTATGTCCGACGTTCTCGTCGTCACTCCCCAGTCCACATTCGGAGGCTTGGCCCAAGCTTACGGAGGTTTGGTCCCGTGGTTCATCGAATTCGCGAAGAAGAAGGGCGAGCCGGATCAATGCGAGCGGGGAATGGGTATAGAGCCGTGCTATTTGGGGGCCAACATTCACTACGACTGTAAGTATGATGCTCCCGGGACCCAGGACATTCCTGATTTACTACCGTATCTCAGAAGCTGCTTATTCATCGATGTCGGATCCGGATATGGAATGCAAATGGTTCCGGACAAACTCGAGGACCACGATTTTTCGTTAGATTAAGGTTTAGAGACCGAACAATTAGCTCGGTGGGATTCATGAGATGCTTGGCCGGCTGTACATAATCATAGTACTCCAATTTCTGACAGTACTCATTCTTTCGAAACAAAAGTTTTCCCGAGGTGGTTTAATGATCAAAACTCCAAGTATCCTGCGCCAGCTTCCAAGAATCCAAGGCTTACTTATGATGCGTCACATTTTCCTGCCCGATAATGCGATTTGTTTCCCGTCCTCCGTGTATGGTGCCAAGCCAGAGGACGATTGGATTTATGCTTGAAGAGCGCCTTGACTGTAACCGTGCACTTACCACTCTTGTTTGAACTCACGAAGAGGAGTCATCCATCCTTGCATCTGCTGCTGCCCCTTGGCGCAACGCAGAGTTGGCATCAAATGTGGTCAGTTCTGGAACACCTGGATGGCGCCCGAACACCGAAGTACATGAGCACTCGTATCCAGAGCTTCACAGCCAGCAATCAGGAAACTCTGCTGCTGAATTCGTCAGCGACAGTGCCCGCTCAGATCCCGAGCTCATTCATCTAAAATCTCTTCCTCGACTTACCGTGAACCTTCCCCATATGCAGAGGGAGGAATCTCAAATGCCGCTTCATTGACGGACGACCTTCCCGTACAAGTTTAGCTGGCCCAAGGAAGTTTCCCGTCATATATTTTCTGTTTAGAGGCTCACCTGATTAACATAGCCCGGCAATTGTTTTCAATCGAGTCACTCGCATGTGAGGGTTGAATGCATTTGGTAGACTCGACTCGATCAATTGCCACGCAGATCGAGCTTTCCGCTTGACCCGGGTGATGCCCACATCCGAACACCACTGCAGCGTTTAAGGCGAGGGATGACATTCTGGCGCCCCTGTTGACATTGGGACCCCGTGCCGTCGGCCAATCATGGACGCCAGTGCTTCGCAGTGCCCTCTATATCCCCGGGGCTCTTTCCAGCTAGACGCCAAGCCAGATGACACTCGCGATTGTTCTCGTTCACTGCTACCATGTCATGGTCGTGCTGTCTTTATTTGGGCTCCTCTCTGCCTTGTACACAGTGCCACTCTTCGGTCCGGAGTTCGCACTCTGTCCACGAGTTTCTATCCACTTTCAGAAGCTTTATCACACTAGATCCGAAGTTCCGAGTTGCCATCTTCAGTCTCGTAATTGCCCGGACAGCTGGAGACAGTGTCGGCAGCAGCTGTTCATGTCGGTGGATTCTTTTGGTGTACTACGTGGGAGAAGATTGTGTTCTGTGGGAATCTGGATGACGACGAGCAAAGCGTGTGTTGTCGTCACCAAGACTGTAGAGAGCACGAAACGTGTACGAGGAAAGAAACGAGTCGGCGAGCAGGCTGAATGAGCTCCTCCGTCTTCGTGGCCAAGCTGAGCAGGCTTTGTCGTTGAGCTCCAAAGGAACTACTGGCGAGTTTGTGAAGCTGAACTGGATTGGAAAGTGAAGCACTAAGTCAAGAAACGAGAACAGCGTAGACTTTCTACGCCTTCAGCACCTCTGCTTGCTTACTTTTATTCTCACTTTCTCCGAGCAAAGTGAACAGCTGACTGGATGCTCAAAGGATACATCTTGAATCTGGATCCTAACATAATACAGAAATCATTGCCCGTATCTGCTTTCGTTCCATGACTGGTTTTCAATCTACAAAAGTTAGTCAGAAAGAAAAGTTTATGATATATGCGCGACAAGGTTACGCAATCGTGGATTGTATATTTCACTCACTGTTTCAGGCAGATTATGAGCCAAGTTTCGACTCTCATCGTCAAATTTATTCAATGATAGTCTCCAATTCTTGTTGGAAGCGGCCAGTGGTCTAACAAAAATATTGAACTTATTACTCTAGCAGATCACCTCTAGACAAATATAGTCAAATGATTATACAACACGTCTATAACTCTTTCTCAGAATTACGTGGCATAACTGCGACAACCCATCTGTCCCAAACTCAACTCCAAATTGTCTGGACCCTTTTTCCTTTCGCAGTAGGGCCAAAATTTTGGGGTTTTTACATAAAGAGAGTGGACACAACTTATTTACAGACCTTGCAGCCGGTCCTGTGAACACAGACGGGGCCTGTAGAAGTTCATGGTAAGTAGCGTAGAGAGTGATAGAATGTGAGCTTGCAAATGATGGTTCATTTCTTGCAAAACTCACTAAACAACTAACTAATCACTCATATTTATTATGTCAAAAAAATTTCTATAAATTTTTTATAGTTGATCAAAGTCATGACTAAAAAAAATCTAGTAATGCATTTGATATACCTCTGGAGATCCACGCACTGATCATGAGACTTTGAAAAGCAGTTCTTATGTAAGATACTCTTTGAGGGTTAGTTTGTTTACAACGATGGAGTTTGTATGTTTGTGATGGAAATAGTACTTGCAGTAATTGGTGTGTAACATCTAGCCCGATGCTAAAGCTTATAAACTAGTTCTTAGATAATGAGATCAGAAGAGTAACTTGCTTGTTCAAATGCTTCATCGATTTGAACAAGAAAATTGATGACATGTGTTGTTCTTGTTTGAAGGAATGTACGATTAAGCGCCAAGCCTTGTATGACTGTTTTTAAAGACCTAGACGAAGAAATTTACTAGATATTCTTGAAGATCATGTTCAACAAGATATCACAAATCCCAATGAGAAAGGTAACATAGCAAAATGCAAATGAAGCATTTGTATCTTTTAGAGATTCAACTGTATATTATTTATTTTGATCTACCAAGTCAATATGATTCTAATGTTCAACGATCATGATCAAGTCAAATCAATGAAAGATTCTAAGTTCAGAAAGGAAAAAAAATCATATGATGGATTTTAACCTTTGATTGTTACTGAACAACTAAATAATTATTCAAGTCTATAATGACATTAGATATTATAGAATTTTTTCTCTAGTTATACATACTCATGACTTAGAAGAAATTATTAGTGCTTATGATATACTTCTGGAGAACCATGCACTAGATTTTTGCTAAGGATTAAAGCCCTATGCTTGATTACTTATTTTCAAAGGATTGATTATCAAACACTGTAATAATTTAATATAAAAATGATTCTAATTGATTAAAATATTTGATTGTTTGCATCATATGAGATTGAATATAAAACTTTTGATAGAATTTGGGGGATGTGGTAAAAAAATAAACGTTTCAATAAAAAATCTCCACTTGATTACACATGACATTGAAAAGTTGTAAAATTAGTATGATTTAGAACAAAGTTTGAAAGCTTTGAGTTTGCAATGTTTAAATTTGCAAATGAAAAGTTAATGTAGTGAGCAATTAAACGATTGCCAATAAAATTTTAAATGAGATTTTCTTGATATCATTAAAAAAAAAAAAACAATGATTGTATATACTCTAGCTGTAATGAAGCATGTCACAACAATAAATATATTTTTTGATGTGACATTCAGAGTTTATTACTCTGAAAAGCAAGAATGCATAATTGCAATAGAAATTTAATCAGGTCATGTGTGAATGTGGAGCCAAATGTTTGGCTCGGACTTAAAGTACGAGACAAGAGGATTAATTTCATCAATAGTATAAAGATATGTACGTTGATTTTTACCTTTGAATAGTTCAAGATCAACCTATACAAAGGATGATTAGTATCTTGTACATGGTTACAAGTGAGTTTTGGTATTAGTGTGTTAATTTCAAAGTCCAACTTTTGCAACCTTTTTAAATATCAATACCCTTGTTATTAAAGAATATTGTGAATTCTTTGTTGTGGATTATAAAATTAACTTCATAGACTAAAAATGACGATGAGAGATATGAAAAAAAGCTTTAAAAGTATTATAGTAGAGATTTGAAAATTTTGAAATAAAAAAATCGTTGTTCAAAGCAGCGTAAACAATTTCAATCAATATGGCAATATTTAACACAGCAGAATATGAGATTCAATAAAAACTATGAACTGTAATGTCAAGGATCTTGTAGAAAAGTTAGTGACAGAATTTTATATCATCTGTATTAAAAAATAGATTTATTCAAATCTTCCTTTATATACATTGGGAAAAAAATTGGCTGAAATGTGAGTTATAATTTATCAGAAATCGAAATGTTTTGTAATCTTTTATCTAAATTGATTAGTGTCAAATTGTGATACTAGTATAACAAACATATTTTTTGAAATTTGTTTGATAAATAAAATCTTTGTCAATGAAAACTAATCAATTATATAGTTAAAATTGTAGCTATTTTGAAGCTCATTTTGAGTGTAAAATTTATAGAAAATATTTCAATTCACATGTGCTAGACTGTAATTATAAATGAAAATAATAGAATAATTTAAAATAATAATATAATCATCATCATTCTTAATATTTACAAATAGATCATCAAATCAAGATAGCATGTCTATTTTCAAATCAGAGTAAATAAAGTATTACCTCAGAAATTTGTTAGAATTCAATATAATAAAGTCAAAGTTAAAAGTTTATTAAAATTTATTTTATTGCTAAAAATGTTCATATTTACACATAATAACATGTACTTTATTTTCTTACTGTCTCATTCCATGCTATCTTTTCAATATTATTTGATATATCAATGAATCAATTTCGTACATAAAAAAGTTTATGATTTTTCACTTTTGAAAAGTGTAAAATTAAATAAGGAGATTGATGAGATTAAAACATGACACAAGATACTTTCTTGAAATTTGGCATGTACAAGAACTTGATTTAGTATTTGTGTAACTTTTAATTTTACTCAGAATAAAATTTGATTTCACAAGAATGACAATAATACTCCTTCACATTATATATTACATGGTAAAATTAGTTGACGAAGAGCTAAATTCAAAATTTTTGAAGTTGAATTTTATTGGAGCAATCAGGTTTATCACATGCATAGACCTCAGCTATAGATTACAATATTTAGATATGTAATTTTATACTATTTGATAAACTATATACAAATTCATTTTTTGGAAAGTGTTATTTTCAAATCTGAATGAAATAAAGTATAAAAGTACAATGAATCATTTATTGTGATTGCAATAATTAGTTTTTTTTAATCTTAATCTTCAATCATAAATTATAAAATTATATTTCAAATTTATCAAACTCTACATCATTCTTTTTTTCTCATCTTGAAACTTCTGTTATGAATAAACTCATACAATATTCAAACTTTTTACAAATCATAATTAAAAAAAAAAACGGATATTGTGTAATATCACAGTCAATAAAATAAATCATTGAGTAATTTGATTAACTTAGTTCAGGATGAATATTTTGAATGAATTTAATCATATTACTTTGTTATGATAATGTTTCAAATTTTTATTATGAGCGTGTTTCAATATCATTTTATTTCAGTATATATCGAAGAAAAAATAATGTCATAAGTAATCATCTGTCATCAAGATTTTATTGCTTGATTTTATTGGAACAAACATTTTCATAAATAATAAAGAATGTTGACAAAAAAATAAATTTTGAAATCAACTAATTGTGACATCTGTCTTTTATTGTAATTGGAACAAATAATATTGATTTGTTCAAAATCATTCAAGATAAATCATCAAAGACAGCTTATGATATTGTTAAAAAATATATATATATATATATCTAGTATGAAATTTATCATCAATCTTATCAAAACCGTATTTTAAAGTTGATAATGAAAAAACATGATCTGTTGATCACATAAAACATGAAATTGATGCTCATAAATATGAAAAACAAATTATGTAATATTTTTTTGTCTTCAATCATATAATAATATCCAATCATGAATATTTTTATCAAAGTACTTCAAATTTTTAGAAATTTCAATCATGTTTTATATCTGATAAAGTAAAAAAAAGTATTTATAAAAATCCTATTAAAAGAATCATCTTGTGGAGCCAATCCAATTGTGACCTACTATCATACTTAAAATAAATCTTTGGCCATCTTGAACTAAAACATCATCATGATAACAAAAGATTTTATTTATGACATGTGATCATCTTCACATCAGATTTTCACCACAACACTTTAGCATAAGATGTAGCTTAGTCATTACAACTAGTAATGTAAAACTGCAATGACAGATTATCAAGATCATTTTGGATTCACCATATTCAAGTGTCAAACAACAACGATAATTTAGTTTCATCTTTGCAACTTGCTTTGGTCTTACTCTTTCATCTAAATACAATAGTATGATATTAAAAAAATTTCAAGGTATTCATTTAAAAAAAAATCGGTTTCTTATTTCCCGGTAGTAATTAAGTTTTATTACATCTTGGATGATTTAATCAATATTCACCTCCATTGAAACAGAATGGTTTCTAATCACATAATTAATTTTTAATGTACTTATGCTTTATGGTCTCAAATATCCTTACCAACTCTACTGGCGATGTCACTTAATGATATTATATATTTTCACCAAATTCAACTCCCTTTGGTGGAGACTCCCACTTTTGTGAATCATAAACGCTACAGTAAAAGAGTGCGCGCTGCCGTGAAAAAAGACTTCAGAATTGTCGATGTATTTTTTATTGGTTCCATTCTATGCTACTGCTTATGCATGTACTATATGTCTTGCCTCCAGGTTTTTCTCTAACTCACATACACGCATTTCGATACGGATCAACAGCCCACGATCGACTTCGAATATATGTGAAGAAAATCCAATATATATTGTACTTAAGTGTGGTCAACATGAAGCTCTTTTCTATAATACCTGTTCATTATCATGATTGGTCATCTACAACAATCTTCCAGAGAGCCTGACCAAAGGTCGTCAGGGATGAA